AAGACAGCGTACAATGACGAGTATGATATCTCGCGGTATGCTGACGTTCCCGGCACCGTAGAGTACTACGACGATGGCGAAAAGACACCTGATGCTTCAGTTGGATATCAAGAACCAGAGACGCCTGTCGAAACTCGTCACTTTGGACCTGCACCTGTCGGGCGTGTTCGTAGACGCCTGAAAAAGAAACGGGTGCAACTGACAAACGGCAATCTCGTCGTAGACCTCAATGTGCCTCCAAAGCTCGTCCTCCCTTACAGAGGGGAGCCAGAGATGACCAAGACACGGTACACAGCAGTCACTTGCGATCCCGACGATTTCGAGAAAGACAAGTTCTTTCTACGGCAGAACGAGAACGGCCGCACAACTGAATTATTTATTGTTATCACTATGTATAACGTGAGTTCAAGGGTGGTTGAGACATCTACTTTTCAAACCCGTCATTGCAGGAAGATGAGGTCCTCTTTTGTAGGACCTTGTATGGAGTGATGCGCAATATAGCACATCTCGGCTCGCGCAAGAATTCCCAGACATGGGGACCGGATGCCTGGAAAAAGGTGATCACTCCGCTGTCTACGCTGCTCTACCCTTCTCATACCTTCCAGGTTGTCGTTTGTATTGTGGCGGATGGCCGCAAAAAGGTTCACCCGCGTGTGCTTGACTGTTTGACGCTTCTTGGAGTTTACCAGCCTGGAGACCACATGAAGAACAAAGTTAACGACAAGGAAGTCACTGCGCATCTTTTTGAGTATACGACTTCCTTTGCATTGGATCCGAACCTTCACTTCAAGTATCCAGATAAGGGCATCGTACCAACGCAAATTATGTTTTGCATGAAGGAGAAGAACCAGAAAAAGATCAATAGTCACCGATGGTTCTTCAATGCCTTTGCGCCCATGTTACAGGTTAGCGGAGATGTCATTAAAGAGAGTGTAAAGCTCACTGTATATTTAGCCCAATATCTGTGTGTTGCTCGACGTCGGAACACGCCCAGGCAATAATAGTATATATCGGCTGTGGAAAACATTCGACGTCAATTCAAACGTTGGTGGCGCTTGTGGTGAGATCGCAGTATACAAAGGCAAGAATTGGCAGTACCTGCTGAATCCCCTAGGTTCGATAGTTCTTTCGTTCGACAATGTCGCTTCTTGACATCTAGTGTCTTCCCAGTCGCAGCTCAAAATTTTGAGTACAAGCTTAGCAATATTTTGGATAAGCCAACGGAAAGCATGTTCGGTTACATCAGTGTCCTGGTATGCTGATGTGCTAGAGTCTACCGTGAATGATGTAACTGATGACCACAGCCTGGCGCTTTTTCTGCTTATAGGTATATTGGAGTTGTCAGTTATCAGCAACGCCCATCTTATAGCTTTACACAGGTATATCGCTTTGGCAAATAACAAGGACGGAACAGGTCCTTTAGCTTCTTATTTCAAAGGCGAAGTTCTTCATGGCCACGACACCGACATATTCACATCAAACATGTGTAGGTCTTTGCATCAGGCTTCTTTTGCAACTTCCCTAATGTTTGAGCGCAGATCTGGCAGAAGATGTATGCCTCCTTGCTTCCGGATGATGCTGTGTGCTGAGATTATTTCAACCCCCAGCGCATCCTTTGTTTCGAGCTCATAGCGAAAGCAAATTCGAATTGGTAACGCTCAACCTGTCATGGATTTGCACTCCTAACTGAGTGCTTTTAACAGGGTGTTGAAGTATGTTAAGGGTGCCATTGGTGAAACCGACGTGCCAGATGCGCTACCAGAGTTTATCAGCCAGCGCCGGCGATGGCTAAATGGCTCGTTTTTTGCAGCGGTATATGCTGTGGCACACGTAGGGCAAATTATGCAGTCTGGGCACAGTTTTAGTCGAAAGGTGACCCTCATGATCGAGACCGTTTATAATATTATCAACATAGTATTTTCATGGTTTGGAATTGTAAGTGTTTTATAGTTGTCCAGATGAAATGCTGACAGACGAGTGTCAGGGAAACTTTTACCTGTTTTTCGTCAGTTTCAAGGTCACTTATGATCGGTGCAGAGATTGAGTCGTGTTCACAGGTCGTCCTGAGTTCGTCATTAGAAGACAAGTCTTTTGGCGTGCCATCCATCAGGTATTTCAATGCCGTAGTTCAGTATTTTTTGGCTTCGATAATCATCGCCTGCTTCCTCCTGTCCATGGGGAACAAGCCTAAAGCGTAGATGTTTCCTTCGACGTCCAAGCCGCGTTGATGTTGACATCTAAACAGGGCTCATCGTAAATACCTGCTAGCCTCGCTGTTCCTCGCGGTCCTGATGGTCTACCTCATCATTGCATCTGTGCTATGTGGTATGGCTGCATATAGCCAGGCTGGTGGAGGTGTGGTCCTTCTGAGCGTGGCAGTAACCTACGGAGGTGAGTATCATTTGCTACGTTGTCCTTTCGCCTGTGATTAAACTTCGATTTGCGTAGTGTATATCCTTAGCAGCCTCCTGGCGTTCGACCCATGGCACATGTTTACCAGCTTCGTGCAATACCTTCTACTGAGCCCGACATACATGAACATCTTGAGCATGTATGTCGTTTCATCGACCCGGTTGTGAGTGTAATAATCACTAACACATTCAAAAGATACGCGTTCTCGAACCTCGATGATGTAGGTTAGAGCCTGCACTAGTCGGACATCTAATCTGACGGCGTCCTAGATATCATGGGGCACTAAACAAGATGCAATTCCAGACGCGGACCTCGGTGCCGCAGTACAAGACTCTCATTCTCAAGTCGATATTGCTATGCTTGCCGAAGCTGCAGACGTGAACGGTATTTACGAGGAGTCAATCGATAACTTGAAATACCGGAAACCTACAAATAACGACAAGGGCAAGGTAATTACGGAGCGAGAACGAGAGATGGCAGCTATCGACTACTACGCCAACGTCAGAACCAATGTGCGTTGGTTTCATTGATTTAAGAACTGGAGGCTAACATTTCATAGGTACTGTTGGCTTGGGTGTTGTCAAATGTGAGTCCGTCAAATCAAAATTTAGACCATGTGTTGATGAGATGTCTTCCCGGCAGGGCGTACTCTTGCTTATCATTCTATCCGGTTCTGATCTATCAAGTACTTTCAATCCAGACGCAGGCGTATCACGGACGAAGGCATATTTGATATTTATCCTTTCGTTTGCGGCAATCACTAATTCAGTGGTGTGTATTCCATGTTTGCCTGGTCGGACGAGAACTCAAAGTTGGATTACAGCGCCTCGTCGGCTCAACCTTATATCTGCTGACGAGGATATTCACCGCATGACGAAGCGGATCTCAGTCTTACAGAAAGTAGAAATCGCACCGTCCTTACATATGTAGAATATCATTATGTTAAGTCTTGTTCAGGCATGTGCAATGGTTCGTCACACGGTGTCACGCGGTGTCTTATCACTTCGACTTTACTCTCGACCGCGATGTCAGAATATTGGGTATCGCATAAACGTTACCACTGCAAGTATTGTAACATCTATATAGCAGACGATGTTCCATCCAGGCAGCACCACGAGAATGGAATGCGTCATAAAGGCAATGTCGAACGTTTTGTACGCGGGCTGTACAAGGCTGGCGAGAAAGCTGTGAAGGATAGGGACGAGGAGAAGCGTGAGATGGAGAGGGTTAACAAAGTGCGTTTATATCTAATTTGCATATACATTCACTAAGTTACACTTCAGGCCGCGGCCGCCGCATATGCTCAAGATGTAGGTGCTGGACTTGGGGGGGTCGGATCGTCTTCACGTAGTGCTCCTGCTGCAGCACCTGCGCCAAAGAAGCCTCCTCCAAAACCAAGCAATCCGTATGCCAACTACTCAACGGCTGCATCGCTGGGATATGCTGATCCTGATGCGGAGCGAGCTAAGGCGGAGGCGGATACGAGGCAAACGATGGGTGTCGCAGGAGAGTGGCAGTACGTTCAGAATTATACATCGGGATCTCCTGCACCGATACGGAATGAGGTTCCAAGCGTGCCCGAAGATGCAAATGGAGAGCCGACAGGGTCTTCTGAGGGTGACAGGAAACGTGAAGCACCGGTGGACGATATCGAGGACGAGCGTGTTTTCAAGCTGAGGAAGAAGACGGTTCGCATTGGATTGGGAGAATTGTATGACCCGGGAGTCATACCTATCAAGCTGAAAGTGAAGAAAGAGTCGACGGAACCGCAGCCCGCTCCATCGAAGACTGCTATCGAAAATATCAAGGCGGAGTCGGACGACATGCTACCTACTGATTCAAAAGTGAAGAAATCATGGAAACGTGCAGCATTTCAACCGGCCGCCGAAGTATCATAGTGTTTGCATCCCGTTGAGGACTGACTTGCTGCTGAAATCAATCACATAGTCATTCTCCGAACCTTGACACTATCATTGGTCGACCGTTTTGGACAAACGATATTACTCTCGACTTCCAAGTGACAGCGAACTGAAAGATCTTGCTTACCACGCTGATCATAGCAATGCTGGCGAGTTTCCTGTTGCTGGAGATCATCGTGCCCAAAATACACCTGTCTAAATCAAGCGACATCATTTTTGATCTTCTCAGTCCCTTCCAGAACTCCCTCCTGTTGTCTACCAGCGCAGGCAGTTCCGGTATCAAACACTTCGTAGGCTATGCACATGTGGCGGTGTACAAGGTTAGGATGAAAACCACCCAACAGTTGTGATCATTCGTCCAGATGAGAACCTTTGTTACTAGTGCTTGGTGGGATTGATAGGCGAGGGACCGACTTTAAAATATCGTATTCGTGTGTATAGCAGGTACTAATGATCGCATGTTTGCTTGACCGCCTTAGTTGCGAGCGTGCAATTGCACCCGAGGCATCTTATCTTTGTGACTCACCACGTACGGTTCCGGGTTGCAGTTGACTTCGTCTCTGAAGTTACAAATAGTGAGTCGAAAACAGATATTATTCTCCGATGTATATATTCTGCAGGTTCAGTTCTTAACCCAACACACACAGATAACAATCTAGTACTGGCAGTATGGCCGAAGCGAGCACTACAGTCCCACTCCCTATCGTAGCCTGTGACTCGGAGCCTGCAGCTTCAGAGACATCCACCGTTCCGTCAACGGTCATACCATCACTTGTACTGCCAGGTGCAAAGCAGATAGGCGACGTTTCGTCTAAGGTGCCAGACGACGGCCCCGTTCCGCTCTCCTTTCCTGCAATCTTGCGCAACCCAAAGCTCATAGATCGATATGCCCACCTCCGCGAGCACTCGGTCGCTGCGCCCCCCAAGACCTCTATTTCTAAAGCACGCCGGGACGAACACGAGGGGAAGCGCTGGATACGGAGGAGGGAAAATGGTCCGTCGTGCCGCTATTCACATGCAAGTCACATATTGACATCTTTCTCCTAGCTAAATTTACGAACAACCCTCATGTTGTGCCACCCTCGCGCGGTGATCATGCGGTACCGGTCCCCTCAAGGCTCTCCACCTTTCCCATCCCGTTACCACCGTATCTTCCTCGGTCAATTGTGCTACCGTCTAGTGTTCCAGGTTCTCGGGATCCTGCGAGTGCTTCTGCTGGACTGTTTTCCCTCTCGCTGAAGGGTGCCCGACGAGCATTGAGAGCCAGACCAGGCGCCCGGGACATAGTAGACGCGATTGAGGGTCATTTGTGCGCCTGGCTTGAGGGAGGGACGTATCCGGGAGAGGAACAGGGCATTATTTTTCCGGGGGAGAAAGTGGGAGGGAGGGAGGATGTACTAGAGGTAAGCAGACGGCCGCTCGATCTTGTGTGGGTTGTTGGGAAGGATGGTGCGGATGGTGCGTTTGAGAGGTATGTAGTGCATTGTCTGGCTCGGTGGTATGGGGTTGTTAGCTTCAGTAAGTAATTGACTGGGCTCTGAATATTTTGGTCAGCTGAATCATTTTTACGTAGGTAAAGAGGTGAACGGCAAACGCCTGACATATCTACTGCGACCCCAAGTTACGCAAGTCACAGCCTCAATAATCGACACGCCCCCTGCAACAGACATTTCCCAAGTCGATACCGAATCAGATTTCGTATCTGACATTCACACGTCTGACCTGGAGTCCGACTTGACATCCGACATGGAACATGAAGCACACACCGGAGAGCTCTCAGCCATTTCGGAGGCACCTTCATCACCCGCAGCATGGTCTGTAATCGGTGGATCAGACTTTGAATTTGACGAAGGGTTCGCAGCGTCTGTAGAGTCGCTCTCCCTAGATGCGGAAGCTAATGATTTGGAGAGGACCCCACGCGCGGCTGACGTACGAGGGAGTGGCGGTGTATACGTACGGAATGCGCGTACCCGATTTAGTGCGTGGAACGAGCCTCGGAGCGGGTCATCACCATCAAGGTCCCCTGCCAGGAGACTGCCGCCTACGCGAAGGGCCATGAAGCAACAGGGGAAGAAATCAGGGAGGAAATCAGGGAAGGGGACGTTTTATGATTATTTATTTGCCTAATGTAGCGTTGAAGATCCTTGTTCCCTGCGATGATCTATGTATATTGAGCTTGATTTCAGCTACTTTGGAGATCAACCCAGTCGGTACCGGAAGCATGTGAAAAGGCTTGTGATGTATAACAACCGACTGTCTAAGTATACAACCAAGGAACCTGTGACATATCCGATTGCACCATGCTGTGTGTCATGAATTTCACTCACGTATCCAAAACACATGAACTATTGCAATTGTTGCACAGAAAAGACTCCGGAGCCTCCGCAGAACACGCGGAGAAACGCACGTCCGTCACTAAAGGTAACACCATTTGGTCTCAAAAGTGTCCTACAAATTTGCTATCCCGAACCACAGTGCATGCGCAGTCTATCAATTCTCACACTGTGATTCGATTTCGCTGGCGGTTTGAACTTTGCAGCCACTTTCCTTTCCGCGGGTGCATTTTATAATCTCATTCCTTGGTAACGTGTACTACTGAGACAAAGGGACTAGCTTTCAGCTGAGTATCTGTGGTATAAAAATGACCCAGAAGTAACGGAAGGTTACAAGGTATAGTTTCGGGTCCGGTGTATGTACCTAGCTTTAGCTTCATTTAGAAGCAAAGTGGATACTTGTCATAGATACCGAGTAATTGCACAATTAAATAATAATTATAGTAGTGTCCTCCCGTAACCCCAACTGCTGTTCGGGTCTACAATACATGTTTCAGGTACTCTCATCGATTCATACTTATACTCCATCGTATCACAGACTGCCCTCCCTCAATCTGTATTCTACTACAGCGACCATTCAATTCAACTCCTATGGCCATAGACGATATATCCACTCTCCCGTCGCACCGCGCAATCTCCATATCAAGTCTTCATTCTGAATTATACCCCGATGCCAAAGTCATCGATACCAGCCAGTCAACTCGGCCTATCAGCCTCACTCATGTCCAAGAGATGAAAGATGAGAACGACCAACCCCCCGTTTACCGCCTATACAGGCGTCGCTTCACTGGCCTTCTTGGTTTCGTGAGTCTGCATTTCGTCTTGTTACACCTTGTGATACTTATTGTGCCGTAGATTCTACTGGGCCTCGTGACCGGTATGCCTTGGGTATGGTTTGGCCCTATATCGACTGATAGTGCGTACTCTCCTTCAGTGTTGATATTTTACTTGACAGTCTCCAATAGCTGCTCAGGCCTTCGACATTTCCATCAACCAGGTGAACTGGCTTGGTAACATCATGTCCTGTGTCTTCCTCCCCGTCTCCCTCCTCATTCCTATTTTCTGCGCGCGCTTCGGCATTCGCCGCTGTGTGAGTTCCTTCTAGTTATCGTCCTTCAACTAATATTGAACTTTTCCAAAGTCGGAAGTCGGTGTAGTGATGCTCCTCATATCAGGCTGGGTGCGCTATGCGGGCACCATCAAGTCCTTGTCTCCTCAGAGTGCTTATGCTCTACTCATCTTCGGCCAGGTGCGTACTACTTTCTCATCTAATCCCATGTCACTCAATCCTTCCTATTTGCCATCTCATGCAGTTGTTCTCGGCAATATCTCAACCTATCTTCCAAGTCCTCGGTCCAAAATATTCAGAGATGTGGTTTGACCTTAAAGGACGAACCACAGCAACAATGGTCATCGCCATCTGTGAGCCTCTTTCATCCATTTTTAAAACCATAGTCTTCAACTGGGATCCGCCAGCCAACCCTGTAGGTGGTGCGATTAGTCAATTGCTTAGCCCCCTAGTCGGTACTCCAAGGCAATCTGTGAGTCCCCAAAAACTTTCTATTGTTGTGTGGCTCATAGTTTTCTGGGACAGATACTGGTCCTAGCGATCATATCTACTGTTGTTGTTCCGGCCATTTTTCTCATCGAGAATGAACCACCAAGCCCACCTAGTACGTCCGGCGTGCTCCACATTTTTTCCCATGTATCTCTTACTAACTGTCCCGAACAGCATATGCAGGCTCCAAGGCGTCACAATCACTCTACTCACTCCTATGTGCGATGGTCGGACGAGTTCGCCGCGACGACCCTGCTTACATGACTCCTCACGAACGGCTGGACTTCACTATCAATACGCTAATTTTTGGTGTACTCGCTGGCGCGTGAGTTTTTTTTTTTATACCTCACTGTATGAACGCACATACGAGACTTGCACAGGGCAAACGCACTTAGCATCCTTTCCGCGCAATATTTCGTAAGTCTTTCTTCTCAACACAAAACATCATTATCAAACGTGTCACCCACAGGAACCTGAGGGGTACAGCGACACCATAGCAGGTCTCTTTGGCGCAACCCTCCTACTTAGTGGAGTTTTAGCCGGTGTCATCACTGCTCCTCTGTTCGATCGGGTATTGACCCACCATCTGGGCATAACAATAAAAATTCTTGTCCCAATTGCTGCAGGAGCGTGGTTGAGTCTAATCTGGGCTGGTGAGTGCGGTTCTATTCGCTTCGTAGACAATTTCTCGTTTTGCGCAGTGTTGTACATTGGTCCACAGCGAATCGATGACGTGGCAGTTTCTTTGTGATTCGCTGTCGATCATTTTCTGATGATCATGCCAATCACCTTCTATACATCCCTTCACGTGAGCTGATCTTTTCCCAGTCAAACCAAATAACACCGGCGGTATCTTCGCGATCATGGCCATCATCGGTACCTGCTCCCTGATCATGCTCCCAGTTGGCCTTGAGTTGGCAGTCGAAGTTACCCGAAATGCAGGCAGCAGTGCCGCCATTTTGTGGTGTTCGTAAGTCCCATTTCTTTATATATCATCCCCCATAACTTCATACTCACTCGCTGCTTTCCATAAGTGGCAACGCATTCGGCATTATATTCATTCTCGGTATGTCACAACCCCGATTCAGCGATGAGTTGCATTCCTGACATCCTTTATGTGTAGCGGAAGGTGCCCTCCGCGCATCGGCGACCGCATCCCCACCATATAACATGCACACAGCGTTGGTGCTGCACGGCGTGATAGTGATGGTGGTAGGCTCGAGCGTTGTGTTTGTACGCGCGAAGCAGGCGCGGCGGGAGATGGATGAGCGCATGGCGCAGCAGCTTGATTCAAACCGGCATGCGGAGGGGGTGCCGATGGATACATTAGGCACAAGCTTTTCAGGCCAGTCGATCCAGTCGATAGACAAGGAGGAGAACGGATGGATACAGCATGGAGATAAATCGATACCATTACCTGATAAAAGAGATGATGCCAGGGCGGAGGTGATCGGGACTGTTGTACGATAAGATTCATGATACCTGATCCTCGGGTGTTTAGACCTGCATTTTCTAGTATTGTTTTGAGACTGGACATAGTTCGCACAACCTAACTTATAACTTGTAACTATATTTATCAGCGACTTCCCACGGGTCTGAACTTGTGCAGAACTAATATTTACGAGAGGTGCATTCCTCTATTGATCATCGATCAGTGTCGGATCCCACGGGAATTCAAAAGTTTGAGTCCACGTTTCTCCGGGACTGCTAGTTACTATTTATCGCCAGATTCCTTGCATCAAAGTCGCGAGACAGATCTTTGGTATCTTGCATTAGTAGCAGTTCTTTCAAGGGTTTGACTTTAGCGAATGGAAATGCACTAGCAAAGCTCATCTCTCGTTGTCCCTCTTGAAACCCTGGAAATACTTCTCTCTGAAATCTTTGTGCGCAGGAACGTGCGTGTCCCTGCTCTCCCCTGCTTCCCTTACGGAATCAAAAGATGGAGGTAGGTACTCGGCATGCGCGGTCTTCTTTATCGTGATCAACTATTCAAGCATATCAATACCACAAGCATTCCGAATATAATGAGGCCCATAACTTACCCTCCGCCCCCAGCTTCCAAAATCCTGCAAACTGTTCGCTACAAGTTCCATCCCCTCGCACAATACCGTATTGATATCGGGTGGGGCGTATTCGGCGCTTACCGTAGGCAGGAAGAACACAAGACGTCCGCCTGGGCGGAGGAGATACCGTGCAAGAAGAACAAGATCTGTGACGAGTTGAGAAAGCTCGTAGGGCTTCGTTGGTGGTATGTAAGGTTCATTTCTACATCAAAATGTTCTGGTAAACCAGAAGAATACGGGGGTCAAGAACTTACGGTCGTGGAATGGCGGATTGGAGCCGATCTTCACGGATTTTTTTGCGCCCGAGGCGTTTTGCTCCTGCACGAACACCATCTGCAATACGCCCTTGTTAGCGGAACTGATGTCATCGATCAAAAAGGTGCATACATGGTGGGTCGGTTATGATGGCGTCAAAGAAGCTGCCGCAACGCCACGGGTGGTTTGTGACGTCGAATGTGCAAAGATCCATGATGCGGGAGGCTACGCCGTATTGTGAAGCAGCCCGAATGATGCCTGGAGTTTTATCTGTGGGACAGTGTTGGTGCACAGAAATACTTGCAACGCTAAATTACATGCCTTTTCCACGCATTTGTCTCCCATCGATATCCGAACCGTAGACAAAAGCACCGAAGTAGGCTGTGGTCTGATGAAATTATCAGGCTGAGATGGGTGAAGTACAGTTGACCAACATATGCCATGCTACCAGTGCCAATGAATGGGTCGTAGATCAATTTGCCAGGGGAAGCCTAGTGGCCGTGTAAGTTCGATCACACGCAAGCGCAGGACAAACGCACTAGTGTCTGATTCGCCATCAAGAGGGAAATCTCTGCCTCCATGCTGGTGTTTCCGAAGTACTGGCGTTTCTTAACGTCGAAGGTTCCCATCAGTGAGCGTGCAGTTCCATGTACGACCTAAAGATGAATGACAATTCAGCTAACGAACAGGTAGAAGGTGTGCGAAACGCACCAACCTGCCGAAGTAGACTTGGGTGAGTTCCCCATCCTTGTGCAGTCCACCATCGGTTGCTCGGCCACTCTCGTCTGGTGATTATGAGTTTAGATTGCACGACAACACTACAAAGACGTGGGGAACATACACTCCTCAAAAACTGTGAGAGTAACTTCTGGGTTCTTCATCTCAATCTTACCCAAAAAATCCATGTATGCGAAGCTTTCGATGATCTGATGCTGGCAACGTTGGCTGATGGTAGAATTGTATCCTAGGACAAAAAATTTGAACGATGTGTCTGGGATGTATCGTTCCCATTGCGGGCGAGCTCGACTGTTTTGTTCATGCAGCATGTCGTAAGATGTGCCTTCGGCGTAGAACTCATGAACAGACCTGATTAAATATCTTTTGAGCAGACAATTAGTGAATATAATAAACACACACTTTATCAGGATGCATCTCTGAGCCAAAATATGTGCATGCTCTTCCTTGTCTAGCATCAGAATCATGAATGGTCGTTTGATGGCATTGTCGAGGACGTTGGCGTAGCGATCAAAGCCTATCGTAAAGCCATGAAGCTCAGATATCGAGAGGAGCTCTGGCACACGGAATTCCTCGTGTGATTGAGCGAATACGAAGAGGTACTCCATTATTTGATAATCTGTCGGAAAGGCGTCATTTTCAAAACAGGTTTATCTTTGAGGTGTTGTTTGGCAAGAGCTTTTGATCCAAACATCATGCAGTCCCTGATCAGAACATAAGCAAAATATAAGGCAAGTATGTACTAGTAACCTGTATAAAGGCACAAAGGGTGATTCTGACGATGTTTCATATGCCGTGATAATTAGTCCGTGTTACCACCCATTGACGCCAACACGTATGGCCCTACTATAACCAAGTCATAGGCGCGCATCAGAGGACTGGTGAGCCGCAGATATTGTCATGTATGCCGATATATGATCATGTATAGAAAAGGTTTTCGTTTTATTGAAATATATAAAGTCATATAAAGCGATGTATAATGTCGGAAAACCACCGCAATCAAGCACCCTGGGGAGACTGACGAGTTCTCTGACGTATGAGCCTCTGGCGGGGATACATCGTAACGAAAGTATCGTTTACAAGGCTCCACTCTTGCGTCTCCCAACCACCCATAGCAGAAATTGCTCGTGAATAATCCCATCCAAACCAAGGAACACGAGGGAATCGGCTGTGAGCAAAGCTGGACACACGTTGGCTTGCCGCAACTGAAACCAGGGACAATCCAACCCAGAGTTCACGAAGCGTACTAGATGACGGTCCTTCGTTCGAATGATCCAAATGTGTGCTAGTGGCAGCAGTATGAGACAATACACCCTGGGTGTTGGTGCGTCTTTCTTGATTTTCGTATAACGTTCCCAGATCTTCCGCCTCTACTCCCTCTCTACTGGAATCCGTTTTTGGATCATCATCAAACCAGTCCTGGGCGTTGAACCACATTCCCAGTGAAGAGAGTTTCTCACACCGACTGGCTAGGAGCGCAACTTCGGCCAGAGTAGGTCCCTCTGATTCCCATGTTTTGCCGTCGTCGTCAATACGCGTGTCTGTCTCTGTGCCACTTCTCAACCACTGCAACCCTAGTTCCTCGATATCCTTCCAGGCCTCAGGAATAGTCTCCAGGTCATCTCTGCAAAGCGCCGGCAGCCGTCCGCCAATGGCACGATCTGCAGCCACCGTATCCATGACATCGATCTTGAAGCTACGCAAGGCATGGAGTGCGAATAAAGGAGATATCATAGAGACTCGAGCCCCTTGGCTGAGTGGTACGGACTTGAATGGGTCTGAAAAAAAATATTCTGCTATAAACTTGAAGTTTTTGATATTGATGAACTTCAGCCGATCTTCGTCGGTCCGGTTGGGAGACAATAACTCCGCAATTGAGTAGAAGGCAAAGACTGACACGGGTTTATCCACCCACAGTGTAAGGTCCTCTATTGAATGGGAGCCAATCATTTCCAAAATCGCAGTGGTATGTTTCACAGTTGCCACGCGCAGCCTAAGCTTCTTGAGGGTGCCGAACATCCTAGAATACGGGTTATCCGAAACAAAACCCTGCGAAATTGTCTCGAATGGTTCGTCAAGACCCAAAACCAAATGGAAACCTGCGTCTTCAAGGCAAGGCATCCTCCCAAGTTCTCTGACAATTTCTGCAGACACCGTCAGCTTTGGATGATGGGTATTCCAGGGTTCATGTTCCGACAGCATGTCCACAACCTTGAGGAATGTATAATTCTGTCCATTAGAGAATACCGGCGCGTGCAGTCCAGAGGTGACACCAGTACTATAGAGCGGGGAAAGGATGTGGACTTGCTCCAGCGTAGAGCACTTTGCCATGAGGCAGCCTAGTGCAGTACCTAAAACTGATGCAGGAATTCCCCTGGGACAACAATTTACCGTTAATGATTGCAGGCCCTGAGATCCTTCAACTAGGAGTTGAAGGCACAATAGTAGATCCGATTCCGTGTCTGCATGAACTTCAAGATGGGCGAGATTTGGAAGAAGAGGCGAGGGACTCTCTGCCAGCAGCTTATAGTATGCCATGCGATGGGTCCTACTGAGGCAGAGCCGCCGAATGCGAGAGCTGTAATAAAGCATCCTATCCCACGTCGAGCAGTGGGAAGCGACGTGGGTATGAAACTAAGACAATAACACATTTAATGAGCGTTTCAGGACCGGACATGATGATATACTTACTGTGACCCATGACGGAAGCTTTCGAATGACAAGTGAAGCTCTTTCGATCACAGATGATGGCAACAGAAGAACAAGTGACCAGAGCGTTCGTTGATTTTCCCAAAGGAGGTCAATAGCAAGTTCGTGGATTGAGTGACTAGTACGCGCGAGAGCCGCTAAACTGTCCAAATCGTGTTGCTGTAGAAAAGAGAAAATGTGACGAAGGACATCGTAAGGAAAGCGTTCGAGCACCATTTTCAATACGAGAACTTAGAGTCTGGTGGCTTAATTCTCGGTATTTATCACGCGTTGTTTGGCAATGGTTTTGGATCCAAACAACCACGATATTTATGTAAATTGATTTAGTATAGTATGCAAGTAATCACCTAGCTATGGATTACTCCAGTCAATGATGCCCGTTGAAGCACTTCAAGATTCACTACACCTTAGGCATGTCCTACAAGCAAGCATTCAGGCGTTCGACTCGGACGAAGAGAGCTGTATGTCCTCTCAGATCTCTCCTCTCCCACAACAGGATGCTCACAAACCCGGCATGTAGTCGAAGAAGGCATTGAAATGCTTCGCACTCTTCTCCCAGACACGATGATTATAGCTGCTTTGGATATTATAGATCGCGAAGGTGGTGAGTAATGCTTCCATACGCTACATTTTTTGCAGTTGAATGAGGGGCCTTCAGTCGTAAAGTACAAGACCTCTTGGGGCCGGCACCACTACGAAGTTATGGGCACTACTTCAACATATACCGTCTTTCCGCACCTCGATGTTGCATCTACAGCCGTGTCTAGTTATTGTACCTGCCCATCATTCGCATTCGCAGTGTTAATATCCGAGAACCATCTTATGGTGCGGACTTACATCTCAATGGTAATAGCTGAATGACACTCCTGGTAGTGCAAACATGTTTTGGCGGTATCCCTTGCAGATAGGTGGTCTCGTTGTGTCGTGCGTCCCATCGAAGATGATGACTTACTGTTGAAATTTGCGGGGCATGTCTCTCCCTAGACATTCTGCTTGCAATTCTTGATCGCAGGCATGTCTTCATTTCCATCAGAAGCCTTGTAGAAATAAGGAGCACCTGATCGAACAATGTGTCAGATTGCCCTAGTTCTCTGCTTCTTTATCGCACGATCGTCTTCGTGAAGACTTGAGGACCTCGTCATGACACCGTAGCACAGCAACACGACATTCAATTCGGTTCCATCTGCACATGAAGAAAATGCCTTCATCGATCTTTGGTTGCTCTAGAAGTATTTGCAGCGTGAAGTTGAACCACCGCAGTTTATATCAGTCAGGCCATTAGTTTCTTTAACTGGGAGATGTAGATGGATCCTTGATCATCCAGTCAAGCACGCAATTCTCGATCGCACATACCAAGCACGAATACCATCCATGATGTGTAGTAGTCCAACGACACTGCAAATGCAGAGTCGTTGAGGGGTCGCGACAGTTCCTTTCTATTGAGAAGTCCGTCGGCACTCAGAACGCCAGCTGTCGCAGCAACTTATTGCAGAAATTATTATTGGACGTGTGAGGAATTATCGGCTCATCAATTTGGAAGAAATGTGACTGCATCCTCCGAAGAGGTAGGGCGCTCCGCTCACAATCAGCTCTTCTACAGTACTACTGACATTTGTGTTCCGTTTTCTCATTTGATTATTCCTCGCCCCCTTCAAAGGCCTGAGCAAGCCTCAAGACGAAATAGTCACCGATTTGCGTAACAGTCAAAGTGAGTCAAGACTGTCGGGAAGAGCCCTTCGATGGCGAAGTTTGATGATGATCACAGCAACATCATTCAATATTCAATATTCATCCTCCAAAACTGGGCGATCGCTCTCGCGGTTTTAGTGAGTATCATACAGCTAAATACATTTTCCCTTCAGACCGGACCTAGTCAGTGCAGTAGTTGCATATCACTTCTTCCCCCCCAAAAAGAAGAATTTCATATGTAGACTGCCAGATATGAACGACTGTGGAGATGAAATGTATTGTGAAAAACGAGCGCGTGAACTGCCACGCTGGAGGAAAGAGATATCTGAATTCAAGGCCCCGGAACGGGCGAAAGAGATTTCAAATGAATAAGTTCTTTCTGCGTCACCCGGAGTATGCAGAATGATATTCAGCACGTAGTATAAGAAGCTGTCTTCCTAGTACCGTCTCTCATTCAGATCGGTATCGCATCCTCAAACAATGCGTCTCTTCTCTGTCCTCGCTGTTGCTTCCGCTTTGACAGCGTCAATATCTGCCAGTCCCACTAACCTTGATAGTACAGGAGAATGTCCTATATTTTGCCCAGGTCGGGCTCGCAATTGCTGCGCGGGGCAGACATGCTTGGCAGAGGGCACAGTTGTGAGTATAAGTATTTTGCGTCTTAGATTTAAACACACGACTCACTGCTGGCATGGTAGCCCATCTGGGTGTGTGTGAGTCATGTTTCTACTTCAATCATCGGTGCAGATGATGACTGATGGCACGACATAAGAATTACAACTAGTTTGATGTTGAGTTGATCAATGTCTTGCTTCTGAGACAAAATTCACTGCCGCTCGGGCAATGGGGATCTTGGAATAGGACTCGAATACATAGGATATGACTGAAGTTTTGTATGCGGTACGCTTGAACATAGAAGCCTCCGATGACACTACAACTTCTCCCCTCATAGGCGCTGTTTTCTATATGTAGTACATGGAAACATGGAAACGCGGGCTACCGTTATATTTCGTAACTTTCGATCATTGCCTGCCCATCTTTCAGTGTTTCTGTTCATCCCTCAGTACTCAGTATTAGTGCCCTCTTCGGTATGACGCATATTTGCAGCTTCACCCTTTGGCTTCGTCGCTCCGGTCTGTAGCGCAGTTCTCTATCTCGAGGTTGTCTCCTCTTGTACAGAGAATAGCGTCTCGGGGGGTTGTGCTACTGGGCATCGGCGTGAGGATGATGCTTGTGAAGACTTGATTAGATGCAAATGATTGGCCGAAATCGACCGTTTCCTTTGAGCACATGCGATATAAGAAGGTCACGATCACCAGGATATTGCATATGAATAGACTGAGGGCAGCCTTGTTTCCGTCAGATTTCACAGAGTAGTGCGAGGACGGGAGCGTGCTTACTCTGACATACGCGAAGATAAGCGTGGTCGACGTGTGGCCCATGGAGAGGTTTATGGAGTGGATGATTGTGACTATGGTGGTTAAAAGAGATGCGCTGAACACAGATTGGATTGATATTTGTCTGCTACGCGAGAGCCCTACGTTGTTCCAGAGATACAGTGGCGCAACAATGAGGGAAATATCCGCGAAGCAGTCCGCTGCAAAGACAAAAAAGTGAGGACCATCCTAGCCACATAAAGTACAAAGAGGCACTGACCGATCAGTTCCAAGAGCGCCACCGACAGCAGCGTTATGCACGAGCGAAGTTCGCATACGGTCATCTTCTGGGCGATCAGCGCTGCCCACATACATGCAAAGGACGCTGAAATGAGATACGTGATCTGTTTAAGGAACTTGTGGCCCGAGTGGTTGGCGATGCGGATGACGGAGAAAATGATGCTCATGCGCGCAGCCCTGGACCAACGAGTAAGATTTAAACGTGACTGAGTGAGTAGTGATGCGGCGTACCATAGGACGAAGGTGAACGTTACCGGGAGGATCCAGGCTGGGAATATCATGAACACACGATTAATATTGGAGTGCGAAGTCAAACACTCACAAGTTATTCTTCGGTCGAGCCAGAGACACGCCAGGCAGAGAACTGGGAAGATGTGGTTGGTCTACCGAACAAGGCAGCGCACAAAAAAATTCACCGTCTGCTATCAGTGCAACTGCCGCCCATGCATCTTCCCACCAGAAGTGACGCGTCCAGGCTCTGTAAACAAGTCTGGCGATGGTGCACAGTATAGCAATGCTATTTGACACCAACACCGCGACTTTGCATATGATACACATAAGAACACGACATATGTACTCCTTTCCACTCACCGATCAGGTTAGTTGAGTAGTGGAAGAATGCTGCCATAAGGTATGTCTGGTGGAAAAGAAAAGGGTGAGCTTTAGATGCACGTTTTGAATACTAACCTTATATGTGACGCAGGAAGACCCTTTGTACATGTCTCCATATCAAATTTTCATGTCATTTCTAGCTAGTGAAGATGACCTGCAGGGTTGGGCAGACTGACTTGTCTCATGACCTGTATAGTGCCCTGTGGCGCCTGTTATGCGCATAGGACATTATGTCACTTTTCAGTCAAAAAATCAAAATTTCAGTCCCTTAGACTCTATGTCGAACGGACTTCACCCTATTCGATTTGAGGGGGGCCTACTCCCGATATCATACCGCCTATCCATACTTAACGGTACGCTGTATCAAACCTGTCGCTGATCAGAAAATGACGGAAATGGATGAGTTCGGCCAGGGATGCTCTGTGGTGATGTCTGGTCTTCATAAAGCTATGTCATTTGGCGAACCTGCACTCAGGCTGCGTCACGCGTTAAATAGTGATCAAATGGCCATTTGATATGATCCTAGAACTTACTGAAGCCTGTCAAGTTGAATAAATTGTAGGTTCAATTGATCCTAGTGAAGCTTGCCAAGAGTACGTCTGAAACAATCAGGGGTGTCCAATTAAACAACCTACTCCAGTATGCCCCCCCCAGATATCGGCCTTCGGATCATAATATTTTGATGATACGCCAATAATGCAGGTAGTCCAATAATCCGACTGTCATGCGTGGGAAGGCCTATGATGAAGTGGTGCTTGCTAGATACTTGCAAGTTGCCATGGAGTGGCGTCGCTGAGTGAGTCGATACAGCAATAACTGTTCTCAGTCTTTCAGATCCTCGAGTCGTCCCCGGCACACAACCCATAGTCAAAGCTCCACGAGCCATCCACGAGTTTGGCATTCTTGAGTCACTGCCCAGTAACGGTCAAATGCCAACGAGTATTCGGCGGGTAGTAATTGTTTGAGGTAATAAGTGCTGCAAGTAGGCTTTTGATCGCACACTCTATCCAATCCGTCGCCGAACAGGTACTATGATAGTCAGTATGTCAAGGTTATGCCAGGTCACGGGAAGAGTTGTCAACAATTTTACTAGGCTTTTCGCCCTGATTACTAATTGGTTCTTGTCAAACCTAGATAACCCTGAGTACTTATATCGTCCATGATTTTTCCTGTACACATCAGGCCTAGCTCGCAATTCAAGTTGCCAAGCAAGGTATTATATGTCAACGACACCCGACACTACCAGGATAGTCATTGATATTCTATGTCTAAACGTGAACAGAAAAAATTGAGTCTACCGATCAACACGCCCAAGTCTCTGTAATGTAAAATATAATCAGGTATACCGCTGTCTATGCGAGGTGATAGGAAGTCATTTTGATAACTAAAATACGATAAGCGGTGGAAAGAGGGTACCAGGTGCAGAATATTGTAAGATACGAGGAATGTGGACAAATGGTTGAGCAAGGCCATGAAGAGTCGATTAAGTAGCTGTAAGGTAAAGGTGAGACGCCGACCACCTATAGGACGGAGATAAACGAAGCATGTTAATGAAGCGACAGTGGATGTGCAAGTCAGTTGGAGGGCAGGCGAAACAGTGCGTGGGCAGCGTGCAACGTCCAAGAAAACGCCCCAGGCTACATATGCCTACACTCGTTTCTTCAATAGCACAGCATACGCCCGAAGTTCACGGATGAGTGACTGGAGCTGGGGCGTACAGGGCGTGCCATCGAAGTCTACGGGTGAATCCACATCCATGTTATCACCCCGCTTGTCACCACCATCCTCGCTCTGGTCTTCATTGCTGGACTCAGACTCGTCGACCTCGGACGACGAAACCATTTCTTCATCAGCTAAGAGCGAAGCAGCAAATTTTGAACCTTTGCTAAGTATATTGGAGGACGAATGGAATGATGAAGCTGGAGTTAAAGTGGATGTTGACGTGCGGGTGTTTGAAGACGAGACTGCATGGGACGTCGATTCGGATGCTGTACGAGAAGGTAAGGCTGATGCAAGCCGCAGTTTTGACTTTTTTGAGGAACTGGAACGCGAATCAAGTCCAGCTTTCCGCTCGACCCACTCCGCAAGCTTAAAGATTTCTCCAGGATTTGAGAAGGCGTACCATCTGGGACGTTCGGTCTTCGTCTTCTGTGGCTTGTCTTCATCCTCATCCGGTTCAGAATCAAGGTCGGACTCAGACTCGAAATCGTCTTCTGAGCAGTCATCATCCTTTGGCGGATCTATTCTCTCTTCGACGCCTGGTCGCACGCCCCACACAGCTATGAACCAGCTCCATCGTTTGTGTGACGCACGTTCTGAAAGGGAGGGGGGAGTCCACGGTGATCTCGACTTGGCTTTATGGCTCTTAGTCTTTGTACCTTCATCCCGCTCCCCAACTTCGATATTAGAGGTAAGATACTCACGTGAAGTGTCTCTCTCTCCTCGTCCTGGCGTCAGAGCCCAGTATACCCTGCCTTCCGAGTCCCGACCTAGTGGTATGATGCGCTGGGCGCAGGAGGATAAAGCGAGGGTCAGGGCCGTCTGGGGGGTCAGTGTATGCGTTGGTGTGTCCTGTAAGTCCTTTGCAGCCTTCTCTTTCTCCTGGACATTGACGCCGTCTTTCTCCTTTTCCTTCTCCTTGGCACTGGCGCCCCCTTTCCCCTTCACCTTCTTGTCTTTGGCCTGCGCTTTCATATCCTTAGTCTTTTGCTCCATCTCCGCCTTTTTCTTCTCCTTTCTCTCTTTTTCAGCCCGATCAAAAGCTTTCTTCATTTCTAAACTTTGCCTCGTTAATTCTTTCGCATCTTTTGCGCCTTCCTCTAATGCATCCCTGACTGCCTTTCCTTGTAACGCATGGTCTACGAGGACACTGACAACAGGTACGAGTTGTGAGGTGCGGACTACTTCGGGCCAGTCTGTCTCCTTGCCCGTATGAGACGAAGTGCGGGCGGAACGGGTTCTAATGATCGGCGCGTTCTGAAGGAGGTGCTCAGGGGCGGGGGTAGGAGATGGGAGAGCCAGGGAAGGGAGTGTGCTCAAGGTGCTTAGAATATTGACGATCTTGAAGAGGAACACCTGCTGATGGAGCGCGTTGGCTGTTGTGGAAAGGATCTGTTGGGCAACCAGAATAGTGAGAGGAAAAGAGGGGACGGAGAAGACTGGAACACACCTTGACGTCTACTTCTATCATGCCTAACAATGCAATTAGCAGTGCTTTCATGCACCCCTCTGAGATCCAAGGTTCTAAATCACCATCCTCCCCATCGTTGTCAAAATCTCGTCGAGAGCGGGAGAGAACCTCGAATTCATCGTGGTGTGAACGTGACAGAGGGAGGAAACGAAGCGCAAATTCACGGATGTAGATGCGGGCTTCCGCTCCCTGCAGAGAGAGATGAGTGCGGACTGGTGTCCAGAGAGCTTTGGGAAGGGGTTTTGGGGTTGGAAATGGTGCAGGAGTGGATATATGCGCGGGATTCTTAGCGGATCTAGACTTGGAGCGACTAGTTGCACTTGCAGTTTGCTGGAGCGTGGATTTGGCTGTTCTCGACTTCTTCTCAGCGACAGGTTTACCTGCTATTGGGCACTGTGCACTTGTCAACATTAGGAGGTTAGGACTGATATGGACACATACGGCCGCGGCTGGATCTTGCAGGAAAAGGTCTGCGGCTGACTGGAGCCCTGATTTACGCGTTGTAACGGTGAGATTCCTATGCAAGGATAAAATTAGTGAAGTCGTGGCATAACGCGTGGTACGAACCCCGTGGGCTGAAGGCCCTTTGCCTTTCTGCAGCGAACGCAATTACAGGTCTCCTCGCATCGGGGGCACCTAAACAAAGACGGAAACCACGCATACAGTCAGTGCCAAGCGCATATACAACATTAGAGTCGCTACGAACTTGAAAAAGTACCCCTCGCTTGATACGTGCCGTTTTGTCTCGCCTGCTGGGACAGTACTGGTGGACAAGACGTCCTGAAGCACGAGTCCATAGCGATTTTTGAGACAGGGGCCGCAGTACTTGGTGTTGCACTGCCGCTTAGATTTCGTGTCTTCGCGTGTGCACTGGACGACAAGAGCTGCGTCACGCTTCTGGCTACATTGATGACAATAAACAAAGCCGTTTGGGAAGTCGGAGGTAGCGTTCGGGAGGGGACCGCGCGCAGCGGTTGGCTTGATAACTGTAGTTTCAAGCTTTGATTTCTTTGCCGGCTTGTCGAGGGTTTCGTCTGTTTTGCGTTTGGACGACTTGCTCATGGTGTTTTGAGATATGGATGCACGCAACGCGTTTTCTTTGCGGTTGGACACAGTGCGCGTGGGGTCGCTAGAAGCTGGTATACTAGGCTTATGCAACGCGGAAGAAGGGATTTCGACGAAGACTTGAGATAGACGCCTTACGGTGCCTTTTGGCTGGCCTGCCATTGATGATGATGATGATGATGATGATCGTGGTTCTATCGGAAAAGGCGCGTACAATAAACAAATGTTCCTTATTGCTTTGATCACATGATTACACCCAGCTGGCGCGTACACGGGTTTCTTATTCGAGGCTTTTAGGCTTAATCGCTTAGAATGTGCAAACAACATACATACTTAATGCGGTTTATAACCAATTATGTTGCACTTGAGCTCACATCTCAAGTGATCTACTTACTGGAGCCTGCCATCGCTGATTAGGCCCAGATATCAGGGTCAAGCGGTAGACATCCTAGATGGACCCGCGTCATTATTTTCTCTCCATGTTGATGGGAATTGGGATACTGGTATGGTAAGTAGTGGATGCAATCCCAAGCCCGGACACAGTATTGTGGGCACAAAAATAAAATTGGCGCTTTGAGACTTGGACGAAGCTTACCAGTCATATGCTGAAGCTGGTGACTAAATGAAAGATTGACTGCTGCGGGGCTACGAGATGAGAAAACCGAACGACGGACTGATGATTTGTACCGCTAGGGATTCTCAACGGGGTGCGAATCTTTATGCGAGGAAGCATATGGTCCCTATATTTGCTTAGCAAAGCGAGGCGCTCACTGGCACAGGGTTTTGACTGCGCTCTTGAATCTCTGAATTGAGCGAAGACCAGACTTCAAATCCAGTGTGGCAAAGCTCCACTCGACCCTTGTGCGACTCATTGAGTCTGCAGCTTATAGCATCGTACCCGTCCATCGAGCCTTGACAATGTTGAATCCCAGCGCCTGCGGTAAGCTACCGCATCCGATTATGTTGCCAAGTTACCATCACCGGATAAGCTGGCTTACCGCGTTGTACACGTCCGAGAGCAACGTCGCTGACAAGCACTACGAACAGAGTGGGCAGGCAAGGTTGTATAGAGAAGGAGGAAGAGAAAAGAGACGCGAAGTAAATCTTTGGACCAGCGCCTTTATAAGGCGGCTCATAGGACTGTGCTTCTCTAGCATAGAAGCGCAAGGGAGAATCTCCAAGTGCACGTTGACACAAGGCTCAAACTATACGCGTCAACGATACATGTTACCTATTGGTATCATTCTGAAGTGAACCGAGGCCCAAAGCATGAGCCGGTGACAAGACATGTATTCCACCTACAGTGAGTCGATTTACAGTTAATCAAATAAAAATGCATTTTAGTTCTTTTGATGCTTTATGTAAAGCGTTTGCCGCATTGGTCGTCATTTTTATACCTCCAACCAGTCCAAGAAGTCTGGCGTGAAGTAAGACAGGATCAAAGTAGCACCTTCGCAGAATTATGTCAAAACACCAAAAAGCCAATACATGTGTACTCACCTGCCCGGACCATACTCTCCGTGGTCTCGAATGCCATGGTTTTGAGATCATAGACGCCCGCAGTAGCACCAGCATGAACCATCGCAAATTCACCGCTGACTTGATAGCAAGCGATAGGATGGTCTGATGCGAGCTGTGTAGCATCCGAGATGATGTCGAGATACGGAAGCGCGGGTTTCACCATAATGATGTCTGCGCCTTCTACGATGTCTCGTTGCTAGAAAACATGACAATTAATAGCGTGTTGTGTAAGAGGCGGAGGGCAGGAGTTACTATTGCACGCCGTGCGAGTCCCTTGGCAGTAGGAGGGAGTTGGTAACATTTGCGGTCGCCGAATGATGGGGCGCTTCCGGCAGCATCGCGGAAGGGGCCGTACAATGCGCTCGCGAACTTGGCTGAGTAGCTCATAAGGGTGCATTTGCTGGCTAAGTCAGCGTCAATGAATGCCTGTTTGATGGCCTTGATGCGCCCATCCATCATGTCGCTGGGAGCTACACAATGGGCGCCGGCCTTGGCGTAGTTGACAGACACTTCTGCGAGACGTAGGACGGATGGCTTGGTGTTGATGGTACCGTCGGCATGGAGTAGACCACAGTGCCCGTGTGAAGTGTACTCGCACAGACAGACATCACAGGCGATGTACAATAATGGGAATAAGAGTCTGATCTTTTTGATAGCTTGGATGACGGGTCCAGATGGATCGTCTGCTGGGGTGCCACGGCCGTCCTGCAAGGTCTATAACACCGCACGCAGTTTCACCGGAAGGAAGCTCACCTTTTCACAATTCAAAGGCACACCAAAGAGGATGACGCTTTTCAGTCCTTTCTTCACTAATGGGCCGAGGAAAGTTTCGAGTTGGTTGACACCCCAGCGGCGTTGACCGGGTAGTGAGGGTATAACGACGCTGGCATCTGGATCATCGGTAATGAAGATGGGATACATGAACATTGACTTTGTGAGCTGCCTACGACCCTGCCATGAGCGTGACAGGGGGTGCTGATATCCACCCTGGAGGATTGAACTGAGCGGAATTGGCGTTTTAGATGTGAAACCATTAAACATGAACGTAAGTACTCACGAGATATCCATGTCGTTCTGGTCGACGTCAAACGTTAGCAATTCCAACTAGCGCGTCTGTCGTCTACGTCGTGGTACGATATCAAGACTGGCGATGCCTGGCATAGGTCACCGGTCGCATGGGAATTTTGATCTCAACAGTTTCAGCACAGTACGTGGTCATTCACTAGAATATACTAGACCTTCCTATATATGCTCCACAAATCACGGGAGATGTATTTGCGCATAAGACAGCTGAATCCTTCATCTTTGACGCCGTTTTCTCATCAATTTCGGTCAAGAGTCACAGCGAACCATAGCCCGAGCATAGCGAAGTCTGTTGGTGGCTGTGACGAATGTCGTGGGAATGAAATTTATCCAGCTGTCACGCCCTCCCCTCAGCTAGCTCACTACTTTCATTTACTCCCTTCCCCCTCCGCTCCCTTTTGACTCTTCACCATGTCTCATGCTGACCACACAAGAGATCCATGGTGCGTAGTAAACCAATTATTTGGCCAGTCCAGGCGATAATTTTGTGAAGTCCATGGGTCATATTAAATGACTTTGGAGGCGCATTTGCTATGGGCGCTGTCGGCGGCGGTATATGGCACGGTATCAAGGGCGCACGAAACTCCCCTAGGGTTAGTTCTCTTTCTCTCATCTTATTTTCTTCCTAGTCAAACCGGAACAAACATCACTGACCCGTTCACTCACAGGGTGAACGTTTGGTTGGTGCTATATCTACCATCAAAGCACGTGCCCCAGTTACAGGTGGCAACTTCGGCGTTTGGGGAGGCATGTTCTCCACTTTCGATTGTGCTGTGAAAGGTTGGCGGCAAAAGGAGGATGCTTGGAATGCCATTATTTCGGGGTTCATGACGGGTGGATGTTTGGCTGCACGAAGTGAAAATCTCCTCATCTTTGCTCATTTCCATATTTCTGATTTCAATGCGTCGGATGTCAGGTGGCCCAAAATCAGCACTAGGATCTGCAATTGCGTGTGGTATCCTCTTGGGTGTATTCGAGGGTGTCGGTGTCCTTCTCTCCCGTGTGTTCAGCGAGGGTACACGACCACAGCTTCCGCAACGTACGTCACGTTGTTCGACTTTATTTCGTCGACTGACCGTTTTTATCTGCATCACTTATGTTTCACCTCCCTGCCACACCCTCTCCTTGCTTCCCATGCGCTTTCGGTGCCACGTCCACAGTACCAGACACTATTCAGCCACAGCCCTCAGGACACTAGCTCCATACCTGCCTTGCAATCTATATTACAATAGATGTCTCTCTCTGCCTTATGGCCCACTTACCCTCTTCATTGTATATTCGCGCTGCAATGCAATGCATAGTACTGAATCTACTCATCATCAGACCTGATATGATCTGTTGCCATCGGGCTCTTCCAGTCTCGAGACTCTTCGAATCTTGTGCCTGCTATATCAATATTGCAAATTCGTGTAGGAAACTCGTACACAGGAAGGACAGTCACTATATGGATCGCGCTCTTGGTCAACCTCAGTGAGTTGACGTATATATATCGCCAAGACACTGACCCGGATTCCACTCTGCCAAGTGCTACCAACGCGAGCAATGTAACTTCTTGGGTTCAGGCACCTGTCACAGCAACCGTTTGCTATGACCGAAAACTGTCAAACTATACGCGACGTCTGACTTCGCTTTCCGTGGGCTCACACTACATTATCCTGTCCCTATCATCTCCCTTCATCCCCTCACCTCACTCTGCAGTAATACGAAGATTGACACATGCTAATCTAAGGGACAGCAGTTCCTGATGTACTTCAAGTCCGCGAATGCCCTGACGTGAGGAATTATTCCCTGCCAGTCCGCCATTCCCGCTGGCTGTTTTAATCGCGCAACTCGGACGATGAATGTGATGGGTAAGAAAGGTATGGGACGTGCTCGCTCACAAGAAAGGACTGAAACGGGGATCAGTAAGACGCACAAATAAAATAAAAATATGATCAAGTACTCACTTCGTAGAGTCCTTGGGAGCATGCGAGTTTGCATGAGGCATCTATTGATCTGCTTGCAAGCAATGGTCCAGGGAGATGAGACATCAGCCTTTTTTTTCTGTGGCCTCATAGAAGTAACATCAATTCAAGTTGATATTACTGAGGGGCAGACTTCAGAACAAATGCCCGTCAGTTCTATGTTATCTGCATCACAAAGAGACCTGATAAATTACATGATAGAACTCGTTGCATGAAATCACTGAGAGTTTATCTAGTTTTGGATGTTGTCAGATAGTCTGTCAGTGACCTGCTTATCAGTTGTCGAGGCTGGTTTCTAGAGCCGTAAAGCACAACGGTGTTGGCTCCTAGACTTGTATCTTGCGCTGATGTGTGGAAGCCCTCGAAACTGCTGAGAGCAGGGAGAAGGGGGGTTGCCCTTGCTGGGGGGCTGTCTCAGCGGAGTACGTTCCAGGTGGCAGCTGGGTACCTGCTCCGGTGGGAGATGAGGGTGTCCCGATGAGAAACACAGGATAGCCATGCATGGTGAGAGGCAGAAAAAAAAGCCAAAGGTGGGTTAAAGGAGAGAATATGAATTGGGGAGCTCATTATGAATAGTGAACACGAGGGGGAAACAAGGCGTACCATTCATTTCGTGCTGGTCTGTCCTAAAAGAATGACTATCTAGGTGCCGTGCATGCAATTGTTAAGGCCTGTTCATTGATTGTCAGTTGTCGTTGGCGCTGATTCTGCTACTGCCGTATCTCAGATGTGACTTGACCAATCTGTTGTCGACAGACCCTGGCTATCTCACCAAAATCCAAACCGCCTATTGTTTAGGATATATGTCCTGCGTGATCAGATGCACTGATATTTTTGGGTGTCCAACTTCTTGTTGCATTATGCGGCTTAACAACTTTGCCGGCTTGTCCAATATTTGTTCTGCCAGCAACATCCTGACAATATTCCAAGGCGTCATATCATCTTTTCAATTTGAACTCACCACCCTGTTTTCCTATAGGCTATCTCGCGAACTCGCCAGTATGAAGATTTTCAGTGGCCATTGATCTTCACATATTCCTTGTCCCTAATATGCCCATCTAATTCTACATATCATAAGAACGCGTTTGATCCCGCGGAACCAATTGGCGTTGATACCATGTGCGCGCTCCACTCGAACTATAGGTGTACCTAGACCTTCCAACATACTTCGAAACCCTATATACCACGACGGATCCTCTCCACCAAATTTCTCCTCCCCGCAGACCACTCGGCAAGCATTTTCCTACACAGTACTGCAAGTTGGGACATGTGCGCGCTCCTGGAAGACAATCGAACTCATACCAGTTTCTGCGTCGGAGTCTACCACAATTTTGGCGTGGTATTCTCGAACGCTAAGGATGAGGCGTGGCCCCAGCACAAACATCTGTACGACCAATAAAATTTGAAGAACACCGCTGAGTGTCTGAACTGCAATAGAATTTGAATTCTACAGAAATGATGAGAAGTGGTTACACGCAGATGAGTCGGCGACAGATCGGCGCACCAAGATTTCTGGAGAGAGATAGGTAAACTGGAGGCAAGAGACACCAACAAAGCTAATATGTACGAAACTTCAGCAGAAGAATATAACCGCATTCACATTACAAGCTCACATTGCAAAATAAAGAGCGTGAGATTGCAGTGTGTGCCGACGGTCAGAAGAATCAAACACAGCACATATGACACATACGCAGAACATCGATACTAATTGACCCATTAGCACAGTGCCGATTTTCTGGCCTCGACACATACACAGAATACGGTATTCCAATATAGCGTATCTTAAATATGATTTTGGAGTTAGCACAACCGTCAACCACGCTATAGCATAACATGAGGTACGAACAACCAAATACTACAGCACAGTCATGAGAGACCAGCGTTGTTTCAGTTCAATCTAGTATGACACCTTTCTTAGCAAGTTTTGCGCTCGGACAACAGCATAGACCCACCTCTTGTCCGAGTGTTAAGACTAGAAACATCATGAGAAGCGATTTTCAAACACTGTCCTGCTCACCCCAATCGTATACCACCACAATGCCGGGGGCAACTGCGAAACCTATCACCAAATCAGCGTGATGGAGATAGATATTTGATCCCGTCCCGAGACCCTTGATTGGGTGAAACGGTGCTAAATGAAACAAAAAGCCGGTAAGATTCAGATTTCCAAATCAGTATTAGTACGCACGAGGAAAGTTCCAGTCGTTGTCGGCAACTGCTACAAGCTGAAGTGTTCCCTATGAAATCATGTAATCTAATACGGGTCAACGTGTCACGGTGATGTGCGTGAAACAAGTATGTACTCTATGCGCTTTTCGTAGCTTGGTGTCTTTGTTTGTATTTGTACAAACTTATCCTACTTCTAGGTTTCAATCTATTGACTCGATGTCCGCTCTCTAATGAAACTACGATCGTGATGGGACTTTGTTGGATGCGTTTGTTGGTTGGTTTGGGCGAAAGCCCCGCAGGGGCTTTCCGGCCCGAAACATAGGTCCGTGCCTAAGGCGCTAGGTGAGCTGTGTTCCCATGTATTAGGAGTACGACGACGCACTCAGCGAAGCTTGGGGCCCTTTCTACTTAGGAGAAGTGCTTCTGTTCACCTGACTGGGGGAATGGTGTAGCGCGTGAACGGTTCCAGTACTGGAGAGGCTTGAATGTAAGGTGCGAGAATCACAGCATGCTCTCTGAGATATAGAGTGAACGCCTCGCTAGACCACCTTCCCATTGTTTTCACAACTTCGAACGGAACTCCGCGCAGAAGATATTCCAGCGTTCCCCCGATTCTAAGGCCATGTCCTTTTAGTTCTGGTAGGTTTGCTGCAGCCGTTGCTGATGCTATCCTCTTCAATAGCTCTTTCTTCGATAACGGCCGCAGTCCTTTGGCGTGTTTCCACGCGAAGAGGTGCGCATCACCATTTGCTGGGTTAATTCTCAAATGATTTTCTAAGGCGGCGTTCGGATCTGACGGCCCTTCCTGCATTGCCCAATAGGCTTCTTCTCCTTCGTTTGGAGAGCATTTAGTACTTGGTAGGTGGAACTTGGTTACTGGCAGACCGTTGCGGTCTGTTGCTTTAGACACGCCGGATCTCGTTATGTGTTTCTTCGGATCAAAGTCTTTGATCGCGTTTACTGTGAACTCTCCTAACCTCGCTATTGCATAGAAGGTTGTCGTCAAGCACGCGAAAATGGCTGCATCTAGTGGCGAATTGAGGTCTAGATGGTCGCGAATGATGGACAGGTAAGCGGGAGTGAATGGTAGCCGTTTGGGACGCTTGGACGACTCGGGTGCCGCTGCCGCTGCACCATCTAGTACCGCTCTCAACTCATTAGGTGGGATTAACCAGTTCCTTCCATGAAGTAAGTGCCAGGCTTTAAGACCCGCTGCATAGTTAGCTAATGATGATCCGGAGTAAGAACCTGCGCAACTGCAGAGAAAATCGAGAAGAAGACTGCGCGCGACTGGACAGCGGTGTTCTTCTGCAATGCTGTTTGTGTCGCAGAACACATGAAACACCAGCAAACCAGCCCCGTACGTGTCTTTCGTTGATTGTGCCCATGATGAGCTGATGACGTCTAGGATGCGTTCTAGCTGTGCATCCGAAATTTCGTGTCTAGGAGCTTGGGATGTCATTGCTGTTTCTTGTCTCGTACTATCTCCCGCCGGCAACCACAGTCTCAACCGGTCTCGCGCAAGACAATGAGGGCGCAGGGTAGAAGGTTTGGGTGTTAAATTAGGTCTATAATTCTGGGGGATTGGGGAAGGGGAAGGAACTGTTACATTTGGTAGCGGTGCTCCGAATCGTGTGTTTCTATCTTTCGTCATCGCTGAGCGCACTGCTGATGAAACTTTCTTCTTCGTAACGGCTGACTCTTGCTCGTTCGGCCGCTTGTTGTCTGAGCAACTCGCGGTTGATAACTTTAGCTGCTGGAGCGGAGTAATGGCCGTCTCGCAGGAGACGGAGTTCTGCGGCAGAGAATGGTTCTGTTGCGTCGATGAGGAAGGTACTAAGCTCTGTTGGAAGGCTGATTGGGGGAAGAAGAAAGCTTGTTGGTCCGTATATTCCTCTAGATGGTTCGTCTGCTGGATTGGAAGCGCTTGGGACATATGTAGTGACGACGTCGAAAGGGTAGGGTAGATTGTGAATAAACTCGTTGATTCTGCGAAAGACTTCGTTGACTTCCCGGTTCCTGTGTCTCCGTTTCCACCATCCTTCAACAACGCCTGTGTTGTCTCCGTGGACGACAATGTGCCTGCCAATGCCAGGCAGAGAGGTGAGAGTGTATATGAGGAGTCCGAAAGCCACTGCCTCTGCCCATCCGATGTCTCGTTGACCATTGTGTGTTTTCCACCCTGGAATCAACCTCCAGGCTCTCCAGTAGTTACCTATTACGATGCCTATTCCAATTCCTGAGCTTGCGTCTGAGAAAGCGAGAGGGTTTTCGAGTTTGATGGCTGGGTAGATGGCTCGTGTCACACCACCGGACTGAAGTAGCCTAGACCACCATTCTAGATCTTTCGCTACCCTGGTTCCTGCTCGATGCGGAAGGAAAGGTTTCGCGCCGCAGTGGGAAAGCATCTCCTCGAGGCTTGTTAGGTACGCTCTGCCTCGTTGTACTGCCTCGCATGCATGCAGCAGTTTACCGTACAGTTCTCGTACGTCCTGTAAAACGTGTGCAGGTCTCTTTTTCCACTTGGTGATTGCTGCCAGATACTTGTCGACTTTCATAGTACTCAAAGAGACTGTCCTCCGTGCGATATCCCAAAGGAAACCTATGTAGATCGTTGATGGCGCGAACGGTTGGTCTTTCAACAATTCCCATATGATACCTAGGTCATCTGATGTCTCGTTGACATCTTGTAAGTTGAAAGTAAACAGCTTGTCGTGCTTCGATCTTGGTGAACGAGACGAGAGGTCTTGCAGCGGCTTCGAACAATCCTCACTTAATTCCTCGAGCTTTCCTGTCTCTAGACACGTGTCTCCGAACCATAGCCTTGCGCCCGATTGTCTCATTCCTTCTTTCGCGAAGACTTGGTTCCATCTTTTTCTCTTATCGTTGTACTGCTGTAAGTACTCTCGTCTGATTCTGAAAAAGATATGGTCATCTACCCATTTGTCTAATGGGCCGATGCCATTGCTCCTAAAGATTTCGGCGCCAGCATCGGCTACATGCCCATATACTCCTGCCGATGGGGTGGCTCCGAACGCAGTACATGTGTCGATGCAAAATTGAGAGTCCGATACTCGTACTACTCCTGCTGGCCATTGCGAGGGGTGTAGTGGGACCGTCCGGTAAGCCTCTGCCACGTCTCGTGTGGCTGCTTCTGAACCTGGAGGGAGATTCGCGATTATTAGATATATAATTGAAAATTTGCCCCATGTCGTCGGAAAGTCGTTGGCATTAATGTAGGAGTTTATCGAGGGATTAGGATGGGAAACGTTTGTGGATACTGGAAAGGAGAAGTTTTGCACTATCCTGAATTTGCCCGGCTTGCCGGGCTTTGGGATTATGGACAGCGGCGACGATTGAAAAGGTCCTATGATACTTTCCAAAGTTTCAGCTCGAAATGGTCCAATGTACCTTCCTTTGTCCAATTCTTTTTGGATGATGCTTTCGAACTCGATCTGATACTCGGTAATCGAACTTTTATTTGGTGGCACCTGAATACTTTTGACAGGAGGAAAATCTATCTTAAAACCTAAACGGAGGCCATCCGGTATCTTAGCGAAACGCTCCAGAAGTCCCGCTCTTCGAAGCTCTTGTCTCCATGCCTCAGCCTTGTATGGCGTCAGTGGCATCAGCCTTCTGCGCTCTAGGGCATCTTTGGGCTCCGTGCGTGGCGGCTCCACACCCTGAGCAGACGTGGCGCGCATCGTGTTTTGGGGTTGTGCATCCCTCCTCTCTCTGCCAGGCCGTACATAATTGTTTCCCGTCCTTGGCCCAAAGGCCTTTGCAGATGCGCTCCGCGAAGGTATCGAACTTCTTGTCCCATGTTTGCTTGGCCGAACACTCGATGGTGCGGTGCGGGTGCCTTCCCAGGCAGACTTCTTGTTGCTGGACAAGTGGTCCTCTGCTGGAGTGTGCGGACGCTTCTGTGAAGCTGCAAGGTACTGGGGTTGGGTTGCTACGAACGCTGCTGCTGCTTGCTGTAGCGCCGTATGAGAGGGATTGGCGATCCAAGTGTGTGGATTCGAGCCAAAATGGGCACATGATGGCCGAGGGGTAAGAAGGCGCATGATGGCCAGGGTGAAACGGGCGCATGATGGCCAGGGGGGTAAAGGCACGCGATGGCCAGGGGAATACAGGGCACGCGATGGCCAGGGAGACGAGAGGCACGCGATGGCCAGAGTTTTAAAAAGGCACGCGATGGCCAGGGTAGAAAAAGGGCACGCGATGGCCAGGGGAGCACATGATGGCGTACGAGCCAATGTTGTCAACCATGATTGGCCGACAGGAACAACATGTTGCGCAAATGAAAACGAGTTGCGGTTGTTAATATGCGAAAGAATTTTAAGAGACAAACTTTCGTTAGGAATGATCATGCGTCCACGCGATATTTACTGACCTGAATAGCGGCCGCAGTCTCCTTCTCTCTCTTTTCGTTGAACAATTCTTCCCTTGCTTCAAAGATCAAGTCTTGGTTGAGGTCTTCGAGGCTCCATCCTTGCGCTGTTCCTATTGTCTGATGCCAGCGCCTTCGTTGCTGGGATTGATACAGTAGCAGCGCTCGTTGTTTGAGCTGATCTGGTGAGTGGCGCCAACGATGCGTCTGTAAAGCAGACCAAAATTGTATGTGCATGTCCGTCCGATCGTTAGGCCAGTCGTACAATTTCATCATTGTGATCATGCGAGGAGCGGCCTCGTTGAATTCCTCCCAGGACAAGTTTTCGTCCTTCACCACTGGCGCAGCTTTCGGGTCCTTTACTGCCGCTGCAGGGATCCAAGAGTGCAGACCATCCGCTGCTGGCAGCATTACCATGGCTTCTGGTTCCGCTATTAGGTTGGATAGTTTCGCATCCTCGAGACCGCGGTTGGTGAAATAATGGAGTTCGCAGTAGTCTCCGGACTTCATTTTCCTTATGGCATATTGCGCTGGGAGAATGGTGGGGTCGGAAGGTACCTTTCCGCGCACTATGGGCGCGTACTTAGTTTTGTTCTTCTTCCGTTCTTCCAGGCGAGCGGTCTCTTCCTCTTCCTTGCGTTGTTGCTGACGTTCTTCCTCTTCCTCCTCTTCTCTTTGCCTCGCCTCTAGCAACCGTCGCTGCTTAAGCGCCCACCGGTCTTTCTCAGCATTGTTAGCTAAGGTCCATAAGGCTGCTAAGGTTCGTGCAGCGTTCTCGTTCGAGAGACCTTCTTCGACCAATTGATGCCGTGAAGCTTCGTGTTCTTGTGATGCGAAGTCCGGCCTTATTGCCAAGTTGGGATCTTCTACTAGCATTACGGTACTAAACGGTCTTGAAGGCAAAAGATGAAGCTAGAGTAGCGAGATTCCGACGAAAAGTGGCTAAGCTATGTGGTGGGCAGAACCAAGAGGTGCTGCGCCACCTCGCTTATTCCGCACTTAGACTAAATTCTAGGCCTGCCTCGTGCCTCGGCCGGCCTAGCCCACCAACTCTCTTCGGTATCGCTAGCCGAGCCTGGGCCTCAAATTTCAGGTGTAACAGCCTCTGTAAATTACTCTTATGCCATATTCTGTGGCTAGTATGATAGCACCAGCCGTGCGCGTGAAATAGTGTTGCCGTCGAGGCGAGTTAAACTCGATGTAAACTCGATTCGGTTCGGAAATTACCAAATTCGTTTCAACTCGATGAATCGAGTTGCAACTCGTTGGGTTCGAGATTCACAAAAGATTTTGTGCACTTTATATCCATACATCGTAATCCCCTGTAAAAGGCCATATGTCATAGTATGAATATCTCATTGCAAAGAGCTGGAGCCTGCAGTAGACTCGACATAGCTGCCACTCCAAAGGAATTTTCTAGATCCTTCACTCGGCTATTCTTTGAATTGAGACCCTAGCTAGCCACTAGAGCTATTGGAGCTAGGAAAAAACCTAAATATCATGATAGCTCGAAACTGGTACGAGCAACTTGAATGTTTTTGACCCCATGTCGTTGCAGCAGGATGGCCTGTGGACATTTTCTCATCTCAGTCCTGAACAATTCTTACACTCGAATTCTCATCAAAGCACACTATCTCCACTTCAAACCCCAAGTGGATCCTTTGAATCACTTCGAAACATTTCGCCAGGTCCATCAACTCCTGCCCCCAATGCAATTGGTGATGAAAGATTAACAAGTATCATATTAGCAAAAAGAACATATATTTCCACTTCTATTCCACGTCGCTATGGATGTCCTGCCTGCTCAAGCTTCATCCGTGCCTTCCGAGCGGATATTTTCATCCAGCAAGGAGACCTGCACTCTACGGCGTAGCAACTTATCTCCGGCCACACTCGAAGCACTACAAGTGCTGAAGTTCATTTACAAGCAAGACCGCCTCAATTTCACAGAGGACCTGGTGGCTGACGAGCAGGACTACACAATATCTGGACCTGTGACTCCCAGAGCGGTCGACGAGCTAATGGCTATTGGGAATCTTCGCGAGCTTGACGAGTTGCTCCAGAATGCAAGGGACATTGATTATTAGTGTATTTGCTCGTCGTGTACTAGATACTTGCAAATAATTGTCGTCGTCGGCATACAGAATCCCTGGTTTTTCATTGGCTGGAGTACCGGTCCGTATCACGCCCGAACTCGTTTTCACATCGAGAGGTGAACGAGGTGCAATTCGTACAACTCGTTGATTCGAACTGTGTCGATTTTCCACCTCGATTCGATTCGATTCGCCTCGGCGGCAACACTAGCGTGAAATACTAACGTGATTATGTAATATTTGTTGAATTTTATGATTTATGATTTGTGCGCTGTGCGTATCACCCATGCTGTCAGCTGAATTATGAAACGGCCTGGGTCGACGTCCACCACTTGTTTCGCGTCACGGTTTGCAATGTATCACTAGTGTCAGCTCCCTTTTGAATTCTCAATACACATACCAGTAGTGGCCTGTACTAGCCCAACTATGGAATATACAAACCCTGCACCGATGAGGCGCAGCTTCGGGACGACTGTCGCTGGTCCAAGGAGAATGGACCTGGCTAGCCGACCTGTTCTCAATCATGATCAATCATACCGCGCTGATGCAGGATCAGATTACTTCTCTCATAACCATCCGACTGTTCAGCGATGTCAGTCAGCCAAGCAACTCATCGACAGATACGAGTCCATTTTACAGGAACCATCAACTGCTCGTAGGCCACCAAGCGCAGCCCGTTTTCATGGTGTATCGTCGTCTCGCTCCATTGGCAAGGGTAAGAGAAGGTCTTTGAGTGCCTCGTTGCGCAATTTCCTGTCCGTCTTCCAGAAGGGAAGGAAAGGAAAGGACGGAGATGATCAAGAAGAAGACATTCCTACAGTTGTGGTCGACGCACCGAGCATGGCTCAGATCCCTTCAATGTACACTGAGAGCGCTCCCCTTCCTCGTGATACAGGTAGCATGACCCTTTCAGCGGGTAAAGTCTCTGCACGTCACTCCGGTGCGCTGTTATATCTTTCCATGCCATCGTCTTCCACTACTTCGCCTATCCTGCCCACCTGGACATCCTGCGATGTCACCTTGCATACCCTGCATATACTCATAACATGGTATACTACTCACGGCAATCCTCCGACTCATGTCCTTCCACTAGATGGCTGCACCGACGTCCGTTCTATTTCTATGAACCGACTGGATCCTGATGAGAAGGCTCTTCTTCCGACCTCAACAGACCAGTCTGAGCCAAAGGTGTTCGAGCTTTTGTTCGAGGGCCGCCGAAGAGAAAAATTTGCGGCATCATCGAGTCAAGAACGGGCACGATGGGTCAGCGCCATATGGTATGATAATGCACAATCAGCAATGCAGATTGATGCGACAACTTTCACAGGGATACGTTACTTCAAAGGCAGTCGCAGGGAACAACACGAGTACAGGCGTTAACGATACGGACAAATTTGGAGCGTAAAGGTCAAGAATACTTGCAGCCTCCGTCAGCATCAGAGTATCCTTCCTCCGAATACACTTCGTCCAGTGGTGTTGAATCCGAGACCTCGCTGACGACGGAGCAGTCTCTCCCTCCGACACCAAGCAGCAAATCACCTCTGTCCACTCAGTCTCCGGCTCGTTTCAGTCTACATGATTCGCCACGGAATCGTTCTCCCATGTCTCTCTTGCCTCCGCGACCTCCGTCACAAATATCACCATGGAGTCCTAGTCCCAAAAGTCCCTCAATTGCCAAACTTGGAAATCTTTCCGTCGTCACACAACGGTTGGCACAGATTGATCAAACGAGCTCCCCAGGATCAGCAAGTAGTGATTCTATCATGCCGCACTTACAGGGTGCTCAGACCATCCGGCCCATGCGTGCTCGCCGGGCGTTTGCGGAAATTCATAAGATCAAAGACGAAAGCTTTTCGAGCGACTCACCGTTGAGCAGTGGTGGACCCAGCCCGCAACCGAGATCGCCGACATCGATCGAGACATACTCTTCGCGGTCAAGAAGTGCTTTCGCTCGTAGTGGGACATCTCTAACGCCTGCTCCGACTCTTCCTGAGACACTGCGAGTTCTCGTGGAAGGTTTACCGATTCAATCTCCCTCGCCATCTACAGTAGATAAGGATCTGCAGGTGGTGCCCATTACGGACTCGATCAAAGAGGCCGCAGCAATGACTTTAGATCAAACGATAGGTATTAGCGAACAAATAGCTGTGTTACAACACGATATTCGACACCTTCCCAGTGAGCTGGCACCCTTGTTGGCTGACACCACACGTCAGTCTTCTACCGAAGCTAAGGAGGCTATCACTTCTGCGATACAAGCATTGGTTGCCAGGGTAGAGGAGATTCAGCAGCAGGGCTCCTCCAGCACTGTCCAGCTGCAGGGAAACTCCATTCTGAAGATCCTGGACGTCATTCAGACGCAGTTGAAATCGAGTCTTCCTCGCGTTCTCGAAAAACTCGATACGATCCATGACAATCAAGAGCGAGAGATGTCGACGTCACACGCGAACATCACCATGAAGAATCTGAGGCCTCCTTTTTCTACACCGACTTCACCGGCGGATGGTTCCAAAGCCTGTCTGAACGTGGATCTCTCGGATATATATGCGAAGATGAATGAGCTCGCCTTACTTTACAAGACTGGTAATACCCCGTCGAGCACCACTGTAGGAAGCCCTCGAAAAAATGGAGAACCCCCAGAGAAGCTAGCGCATGACCTATTAGACGACAAGGTTCGTTTATTCTCAATCACGCGGTTTCATTGGCTGAACTTTCACAAGCTGAAAGCCGTCCTGGATTACCTGAATGTGGATGAAGAACAAAAAAAAGTGCAGCTCGAACAGCAGGCCGATAGTGTCCGCTACCTGAACGAACTAAATTCGGTTAGCTCAAGAGCGTAAAGTGTGCACTGCTACTGACGACTTTTTATCAGTGGCTGGACGCGTTTGTCAGCACAGGCACCACGCAGATACAGGTTGTCGCAACTGGTGTTGAACAAATTTGTAAACAACTAGGTATCAGCACATCCGAAGAGCTTTCAAGCACCAACTTGAGTGGACAGGTGCAACAACTGCTGGAGGCGGCGCGGAGTCAAGTGCACAATGAAGAAGACTTGCGATCAACAGTCCACGAGTTGATCCAGGTCGTTCAAGAACATCTCACTCATGGAGATGAGCGACGCAAAGCACTTGGTTTGTTTGTCGGATCGTCTCTGTGGTGTCAGTGGTTAAATGACGATATATCTTAGTGACGGACTCGGTAATGGAAATCATCAATCGCCAAAGAGCAGACCAGGAGCAAATGCTGCGAGTGTTGTCGAGCGGTAAGTGGTTTCCTTTACCCGGAAAATTTTGTCTGACATATGCTAGAACTGACGGAGGAGATCCGAGGGGAACGACTGCGTTTCGTGGAAGCGATGAAAGAGGCCACAGCAATTAATGTACAAGGCGCGTTTTCCCTTTGTCCTCACGGTCCTTCGTTGACGATGTCCTGACGAGCAGCTCACGTTGAACATTTCAAGGCTGAATTGGGTCGTGAAGTCGCAGTAATGACACAAGATGTTGGGAGGCTGCACAAAGAGAAGCAAGCGATCGAACAGCAAATTGCGGACCTATTCGCATTCTACTCTAAGCAAAAGCAGGAATCCGAGGTGTGTCCCGTCGATCTCCTTTTGGCTTGATAATTTTTTGTTCTTGAAATTGCAGGCCCCCTATCGGCGTGTACTTCCAAGGTCTTCAGGTCACAAAAATGTTCAGAATATAGCCGCCTCAGAATCACCACACCGACGTCCGTTACCTAACCCTGAAAACCACGGTATTGATACTGTTAGGTTTCAGAGGCGCGATCCTCGGAGTAGGATCAGAGCTGAGTAAGTGGGGCATTGAGATGGGAGTGGAGAACGATCTATGTAGGGACAAGCGAGCGTTTGATGGATATGCCAATATAAAATAGTAATGTTAAACCCCCACCTGCATAGGCACCACCGACACGATTAGTGTATCACGGCCGCGCGCGCGAGAGAGCGATAAACGACAAAGCCTCGTCCCAACCCATTCTCTCCCGCTCCTTTCCCAGGGCTCCGCCCCTGCGAACTTCCTCAGCATCAATGACTTTCCAGTCATCGTATTGGGTGACCATGCCGTCTTTAATTCCATGGACAATCTCTGACGGTAATGCATCAAGATCTGGACGACGATTGAGCAGTTCATCCGGTGCCATCTCCGTTTCTGGCGGGGGTGGTGCAGCAGTTGTTACCGCTTCTGATGAAGGTGCTATGTCAGAGAGAATAGTGCCTGCGACCGCATATGCATCGATCATAGTTGACGCAAGCACACCCTTAGCACCATTGGCTGCCCATCCGGAAGCATACATATTTTTCAAGGCTGAACCATCGGAAGAAGTGATACGCCCTGCAGATGAACGAAGGTGACGCAGAGCAGGATCGAAGAAAGTCGTTTCTGGATCTGCATGAAATCCGAGGGAGGTTACGACGAGAGAAGTAGGAAGAGTGGATGTCTCGCCAGTAGGCACTGCACGATGAGTGGCAGGATCAAGATGGGTGTGAGCAAGGGTAAGATTCGCCATATCTAATGCTGAAGCACTTGATGGAAGAGTGAGACTAGCGGGAGAGCGGTAAAAATGGAGTGACCAGGATTTGGGCGTCGATCCTGGTCGATTCTTGGATCCCTTCTGGAGTAGCTCGAGCGTGCGCCGCTGCTGGCGTGTTAATGCGACACCTGATGGGGGTGTAAGTAAAGTGGGTTCGATAGGAACCATCGATGCCTCTGGAAGATTGATCATCTCCCGAAGCTCTTTAGTGGTGAATGCAGCCTCCAGAGGTCCCCGCCTTCCAACTATGGAGACATGCTTGACGGTAGAGCGGGAGAGAACTTCGAGAACATGCTCTGGTACATCATATTGACGAAGTACAGAGGGGGAAGTCAGAAGAATACGTGCAATGTCCAGTGACACGTTTCCCTGTCCAATTAATGTAAGGTGTGTTATCTTGTCAAGCGCGGGGGGTGGCGGCTGGGATGGGTGTTGTGTATACCAATGGACCAGGGACAATGCAGGTATGCAGTAAACAGACGGAGGGATTGCAGGGTGCAAGGTGGGCATAGTACATCCTGTCGCGAACAATAAGTGGGAGTAGTTGTTGAGTATGGAGGTCAGGGGTAAATGAAGCGCGCGAGGAATAGAATGGAGGGGCGTGCTCCCGATATTCACGTTTCCAAAGAAGCGGAAACGCGGGTCGGTTGCAGTAGCATCGAATTTGTTCGTGCAATTCTAAGGGTCTCCTCAGTGATTAGTGAGACATGAAGAAATCCAGCTCACCTTGACCTCTGGATGATCTGGTGCAACGCCATAGCGGACGAGACCATGAGGTGCCCACAGTCGATCGTACATGTGCACCCTTAGTGGTGGAGACATTGGATCCTTCAGTGGAAGGAGAGAGAGCAGGCGCGAGGCTACATAAAAAGCAGATGGCCCTCCACCGATTATAGCTAATTTCACCGGAGGTGGCATGGTCCAAAGGACCAGGAAGGATTAAAAGAGCCTGTAAGAAAAAGATATTAATGAGCGTTTGATGAACGTGAGTGTGGAGTCATGACATCGACCGTGACCGACGCGGCGGCCGACGGTAGCGCCCCAAATTGGCCGTACTTAGGACTTCTTGACTCATCAGTCGCGATTCATGCAGGCGACACTCAGTGTTGCCGCTCTCAAACGTTTGCTCCAACCTTAATATTGCATTTTACAGAGCTCACTCGGTTCCAGCGTTCATTAGGGCACTAACATGTCTGTCGAGATATGGCGACGATGTTGTCATATCTGCAAACCCAGAACACCTCTCTTTAAGCGCAACTAATTCTTCACTCTCTGCATACTGTTGCTTCAAGTATGGGCGCAGGTTCTTTTCCAGATATAAATTCAGAGATGGCGTGGCACAAGACGATGTTCAGGATGTGAAAGGACAGTTGCTCGCCAAGGTATGTCTGTTTTATTGCCCAACTGCGCTCCGTGACAGACTGTTTAGAACCATAGACATTTCTTTCCATTATTAAACATAGAACTATCGAGAAGACATTGGAACGCTGCGAATTCATAATCGTTGAAGCAACGGATCTATATGACCAGAATGAGCCAGACGAGGACCAGGACACATTAGAGAGCAGATTGATTATTCGATTGCACTGTAAACATGGTATGTACGAAATCTACTCCACGTGCACAGACATGTAAAAGTCTCCGCAGGCATAGTAAAGACTCACCGACTGCCACTCTTGATCCCTACATCATTGCTTTTGCCGGGTACCTCAGACCCTTCGACTGAATCACATCTTACAATAGGTCCACGCGCAATAAAAGACATAACGGAGCATTTCCCAAATGCTCGAGGGGCGAAAGGTGATCCTCAACTTGTATGGACCTTTGGAGACACCGACGTTGAGGTTAAGAGCCTCGAGTCCTCTATTGACACTAGAGGTGGGAATACCTAATCCAGATGGTGGACTGCTCATATCTATCTCCCAAATCAGGTAAAGCTCAACTATCAACAGAGCTGACAATCAGCGCGGATGAGTTCGATGTCTATGACGTCTATGCAACCCCAACTATCATCTCTTTTCACTTGCGAGAGTTCAATGTGTGTCACTACAGTTAACGTCCAATTCTTACAGTCTCTGACTTTTCTTATCTGACAGGCCACAATTGCTTTCGCGGAATCCATGGGTCTCTGCCTAGATCTACGGTTCACAGATTCTGTGGCCCCTCTCTTTATCGACGTCGAAAGCGAAGAGTCAGAGTGTCTTTTTGTCATATCTACCTCGCAATACGGTGGTTCAGCCGCACCTCCATCGTCAAACTCTACTCAACACAACACACACAAACGTCCTTCTCCGAGCGATGATGGTAAAAGCAGTTCGAGACAGCGAAGCGAAACACCAAGAATAAAGAAACCAATAAAAGCCGTGCAGCGTATGGATGTGCGTACACCTGATGTAACTTCTACTTCAAAAGCACAAAACGATGCACGATCAATGCCACCACCATCTTATATTCCTCAGTACACGTCAGACTCTCCACTGAATCAAATGCCGCCTCTTCCCTCGCCGTCTTGGAATCTTCCGCCTGATCCATCCCATGGAGTTACGGTGCAACTCGAGCCTCTCTTCTACCCTCAGTCTTCTCAGTTATTATCGGATGAGCCAAGCGGGAGCCCTGAAGTGGGTCGAGCTAAAGCACGGGATCGGACTCCATTATTTTATCCCCTTTCACAACTTTCTCAGGCAGACAAGGAGGTGATACGCGCATCTGGTTTGGGTATCGAGGACATGAACCAGGATGAACTAACGGCAATGCTCGAAGGAGAGGGCGAAGAAGTTGGCTTCGAGTTCGCTGCGTCTCAGAGTCTTACCAACATGGAAGATGCAGATTCAACTATGCTTTCTGCGGATGATGATCCTGAAAGCTTTGAGCTTGTTGAAGACATCGGCACTGAACTTGGGCCAACGCAGGACGACGTTGGAGGCAGGAAGAAGGTATGTTTTGTCATCCTATGGAGGGCTGGGTGCTAACCCATTGTCTAACTCAGGTGTTCCAGCCTCTGTTTGAAGATTAATTTCGTAACATGTCAGGATTTTGTTCATCCTTTGTTGTTGTGTTTACTACTTATGATTTTCTTCCTGACACACTGTAGTGGGAGAGGGTTTTGTAGAAAATAAATGTCAATGTCATATGCTGCCAAAAAATCACTTCCCTTAAGATTCGGTTTATAATACAGTTACGTAATTAACCGATAAGCAGGGCCCGAACTCAAACCGAACCGAACGTAATTGCGAAAAGTTTTATGTAGCCTTGCTGCCCGAGCCCGATTATGAGGCTGCCACTAGACCATCAACATGCACAGAGTCATCCTGAAGTTCCGCGGTCCACCTAGCTGGCGCAGCTCACGTTCCTTCCTTCGCTCCCAAAAGCCGTTCGTTCGTCATAATAATACCGACCTGCATAAGCGCCTGGCCTCATCCGACGCTCCCCAGCGTCCTCCGGAAAAGTCTTGGCTTTGGTATCCGGGGACTCTTCTAGCGCTCACTGGTGTAGGGTACTATGCATATGAGAACCACCAGCCTTCCCGACATGCTGTATTGGCGACTTTACGGTGCTCACGACTTGCGCGTAAGGTTTTGCTGCGACAAATTGATGTTCAAAAACACTCAATAGTAACGCACAGGGGCTGCAATATCCGGAGCGATTGATTACAAGCTTACTCTTGCGCGCACCTATACTTCCGAGGAAGAGAGGCTTGAAGCAGTCTCACAATGTCATGTTCGGAGCGCTACGAAGGTGCTGAATGCTCTGTTGGCTAATGGAGGTTTGTTCCAATATGCTGGTCGCGCAATGGACCTCATAGCTGAAATGATAAATTTTAACCAGGCATCTACATCAAATTGGGACAACATATTGCGTCGCTGTACGTTCGGATTTATGTCGATATACCTTGCAGATTTTAATTACTTGAGAACAGAATTGTACTACCAAAAGAATGGACCAGCACCATGGCCCCGCTTCAAGATAGGTGCGACGCCACTCCATACGAGGGTATTGCAGCACTATTCTTGTCAGATATGGGACAAACTATAGGCGAGCTTTTCGACGATTTCGACCCGATTCCTATTGGTGTTGCAAGTTTGGCTCAGGTTCATGTGGGACATCACAAGGCATCGGGTAGAAAGGTTGCAGTGAAGGTGTGTGTCGACAATCTGTGCTGGTTTGAGGTGCTTACCTTGGTTGAAGGTTCAACATCCTCACCTGGTTGAATTCTTCAACATTGACATCAATATGGTCCAGTCTACTTTGGGTATGAGTGTTCGTTCTTTAGAGCCCAACTCCACTTACAGTTTGCCATAGGCTGGATCAAGTACTGGTTCCCGGAATTCGAATTTACCTGGTTGGGTGAGGAAATGCGGGAGAACCTCCCGAGAGAAATGGATTTCGTGCACGAAGCTCGCAATACAGCTCGTGTGGTCGCTGATTTTGAAAATATCAAGACGTCATTATACATACCCGAGGTCATATCTGCGAACAAACGAGTTCTCATCATGGAGTATATTCAGGGAGGCCGCGTAGACGACCTTGCATACCTTTCACAGCACAACATTGACAGGAATAAAGTCGCGCTAGAGCTTACGCGAATTTTCAATCGAATGGTGTTTATGAACGGGTGGTTCCATGCGGTGAGGTGTTTTACAAACAGTTGAGCCAGATCTGACTCGGGTTTTCTATAGGATCCTCACCCTGGTAAATGAATTTCTTTTTATGTGTTTAGCTTGACTGACGTAGTGCAGGTAACTTGTTGATACGGCCTGCTTCTAAATCATCCAACTCGCCCTATAACTTTGAGATCGCACTTCTGGACCATGGATTGTACTTTGATCTTGAACGAGAACTTCGTGTCAACTACAGCAGGTTGTGGTTATCGCTCATTGCTCGCTCGTCGCCGACTGTCGACGCTGACCGTCGGAAGTATGCAGCATTGGTCGGGGACATCACGTCTGATTTGGTAAGGGTTTGATTTTTTTTGGTGGAGTAAAGCATGTCATGATGTATTTATCAACAGTATCCTGTTTTCGAGGCAGCAATCACTGGCAAGCCCCTATTCTGATAGATGTCCCTCTATTGACTGTTTTCATTAGGCCGACTGTCACCCGATGGTATAATTGAAGCAAATGACGGACCCAAGAGCGACACCCAGCGAGCCACAGGCATGCTCGATATGGCTTCTCAGATTGAGGAGAAAATGGAACTAGTTCGCAATACTGTTACCCCAGGGGACATATTGGTATCCGTACTCGATGTCCTGCGCAGATTGCCTAGGCGCGTGCTGATGGTCATGAAGCTCAACGACCTGGCAAGGTAAGTTCTATCACCTTCTCAAAAATTGCCACCAAACAACCACTCCCGTAGACACTTGGATCATTCACTGGCAACGACTCATTCAAGCGTTGGTATCATTTTTTTTTACTTCATGGTTATATCTCAACACAGACATAATAGGTCAGGATATTCCTCATCACGTCAAAGTATTGCATGAAGGCAGTATGGCAAGATGAGAAGAACCGCTTCCGCGAGGGTGGACTTGGGCTTGGATCCTTCTTGGGTAGCGCTTGGTGCGTTGAATCCTCTGCGTTGACCACACACACTTGATTACATCCACCCGCAGGGCATTCGCAACTGAGTATTCCAAAATCACATTCATTGAATTGATGATGGATTGGCAAGCTTCACTGGTAAAGTCGAGCGCGTGGTTGCGTGGGTTTTATTCAAGAGGACTAGCGGGAGCGCACGATGCGGCAGCCGGTCTTTACTAGTTAAATTTATGATACATATGCAATTAGAAGGTTGTTACTGTCGTGACAGATAGAGTTTTAGACGTTATTTCTTGATATCAAAGAAAGAGTCGATAGTGTTGATGCTCTTTTTCAGACAAGCCCACTGCAAGGTGTTACTTGGGACAACTTAGAGATACAAACGGTGGACTAACCTGATCCGCATTCAAGCTAATGCCTTTCTTTCCTGGCTTTTCGTCCTCCTCGTCCTTACCATAAAATTCACGAATGTCAACAAGAATCTTGCCTGCTTTTTGTGAGCAACATCGTTGTATGTAGACGCAAACTATTGCAGTTCACCTTTGAACTCACGGACAGTTACGCGTTTCTTTTGACCCAGCTGAACATATCTTTCACCTTCAGAACTGGTAAAGACCTCCACATCATTGTCATGAGTCGACTTTTTCTTCGAGCCTGTTGGGGACTGACGACCAGCGGCGGAATCAGGGGTTCAAGTACAACGGTTGTAAAAAAAAGCGCGTACTTGGTTGTCTGAATGACCAATTTTTGGCTTCTTGATAGTCAAAGGTTTCTCAGTTGCCTTTGAAGCCTGCTTTGTTTTCGTTGAAATCGTCGACCAGCATGATACCACAAACACGGTACTTGGCTTGCCTTAGTTTTGATTTTTGGCTGGTCGTCTTCAGAGTGATCATAGTCTTTGTCTTCGTCGTCGCTTGAGCTCTTTCGCTTGGGCATGAACGGTTAGACGGTGTTGATATATACTTGGAAAATATTCGGCTTAACCGTTTTGCTAGAACGCGTCGTTGAGCTTATTAACGAGGATGTGGCTGAAGACGCGTTCGTGGGAAACACCTTCCTGGTATATTCTTAGACATGTTACGTCGTCAACTCCCCTCCATTTAGTTTCCTATCTTCTACAGTCGAGCCTTTTAATTCAGAACTGAAGCCTCAACTTCATCTTCCCGCATTCGCTGCGGATCAATGAAGATATCTCAGAAATCAAAGAGAGCGGTCTCCCCGGTCAGTGGTCTAGATCTTATTCTCACGCGAAACAATTGGTATCTGACCAGGGTCGTGGCGTTTTCAGCACCCTCAAGTAGCAGAGCTTGTCACAAAGCTCGTCAACACCCCAAACGATGATCTTGCCGACGTTTTGGCCGATATTGACACCTGGAAATGGCCGCGATCTGATCTCAACGCCTGGACTAAGGTCCTTGATAAGTTCGATGTCATCCTAGAGGAAGCCATCCGGGATTACGATGTGGACAAGTTGCAGATAAACGTGTTCACTCCAGCGACGAAGAAAACTATAAGCCATATTCTTAGGTTTGAGAGACTTCTGTTGGAGAACTCCACCAATCGCAAAACCTTCAACTCCTATGATGTGCGTCCTTTTCATTCAATCGTCGACCTGTGTTTAATCGTTGCTATCATGCACTCAATCTCAGAGGCTTAATTCCCTGCTGTTCACATCAGATCTTGACGTGCTTACGCTGGCACTAAGCCTTCTCCTTCGCCCCGCACAACAATACTCCGCTCAGCCCGCGGTGTCGACAGCTCTTAGCATATCCACACCCCGTTTGCTCTCCCTCTCCAAGCGGTGGCCTCATATCCACGAACATGGAATAAGCTTGCTGGATCTTGTCAGTGCAAACGGTCTGTCGCAGGTTGATGTTCTGCCTGCCGAAGCTCGTGATGTAAGTTTCGTTTGTTACCGAACTGACCCGAAGGAGAAGGGACATGGGAAGGAAACCGATCACAGCGAAGCCATACCGTCCAGTCCTCGCAAACTCTCCGTTCCGCCCTCGACTTCACACTCATATGCGTCTACCATTCATATTGACGAAGAGACCCTGAAGAACAAGACAGTCATGGAGATCATGGCGGATGTATTGGAGACGCATCCGCTGAATAACGATGACAAGTTTGAACTCCTTTGTCGTGTTCGATCTGCCAAGGCACTTACCAGCGGTAACGAAATTATGAGAGAGGAGCTTGTCGTCATACGACTGATTTGCATCGCCATCTATGGCCATACACACAACGAGACTCAAGCATCATCGACACTTTTCCTGTATGAGCCGGATCTCACTACCCACATCGCTGAACTACTCCAGTTGGATCGTGGGGTTTCGATACCTGTGCAGACAGCGGCTATCTCAGCACTGGACTCGATCGCTAGGTACCGAGGCAAGGTGACCGAGGTGTTGGGTGCCGTAAATGCTGCCGTCAACCATGGGATCATCATGACGCTTCTGCGAAAGACTATCTTGGAGGTTAGCAGTCCGGAGAGCAGAATCTCAGCTACCTTCGTCGAGTCTCTTCTTTCATTTGTGACCTACCTTGCGCAGCATGTCAACGGGGGAAATATGCTTGTTAGCGCAGGCCTGGTTCCCTTATTGGTTCAGATCATGGAGAATAAGTTGGCTCAGAGACTCCAGATGGTCTCGAAGGCTATGCAATTGGTGGATAACATCCTCTACGCTTTCTCAAACGCGTTCCAGGTATTTTCAAACTCCCGTGGGGTCGAAGTCTTGGTAGCCAGGATCCAGGTAAGCATAGGATGGATCACCCTCGAGCCAATCATCTCACTTCTCAAAATCTGACCAGCACGAGGTCGACTTTGATATCACGATGTACGGCAACGAGCGCTCCAGGGACTTATTTGGTTCGTATGGTGAGTGACTGTTGTGAGTTAGGATTAGAACAAAGTACGATAATGGCCGTAGGACAACTTCCGGTTCCAAGGGCCGCTGTCCTCAAACACACGTTGCGCTCCATACATCGCATGATGCAGTCAACCGGTACATCTGAAGGGCTGCGCGGCCTCATTGATTCCACTCTGCCACAATCAATCAAGAAGATCATGGAGTATCGTGGCCTGTTTGGTCCCAATCTTCTGCCTCTTGGTGAGCACCCTGTATGTTATGCAGGCATTGATTGATTAATCAATGCCGATGAAAGCCATGAACATAATGGCCACATTTATTCATAACGAGCCGACGTCGCTTGCGACGATTCAAGAAGCAGGCTTGCCTCAGGTGTTTTATAAGGTGATCGAAGCAGGTTTGGAACCTGTCATTGAAGTGAGTACTATCTTTCTATGATTTGCACTAACTCACACCTTCCTTCAGCTCATCCAAGCTATTCCAAATGCAATCGGGGCACTTTGCCTCAATCAAGTCGGTCAGGATCAGCTTGCAACTCGCCCAAGCGTCATACCTGGCATTATCTCGATCTTCACTTCTGAGAGCCATATCAAGGTCCTTCGTGAAAAGGAAAACGCCGTACTAATGGGCACCGCCATTGACGAGTTGATCCGTCACCATCCAACACTCAAAACTCCTATTTTTGATGCTGTCAAGTCTGCGTTGAGTAAAATCGAGGATCTTGGGAATACTTTCGTGATTCCTGAGGATAAGAAAGAGTGGTATGGTCTCATGCTTGCGTCGCAAACTACGGACAAGGACGACAAGGACGACAAGGACGACAAAAGCGATATCATTCTGATGGATGTTGTGGAAAGTGACGTTCGTTCTGATGCTCAAGGGGACGCATCTGACGACGACTCGCTGAGGAGTCATGATAACAACATAGTCCTTTATGTAGATGTCTTGTGCCGAGTGAGTTGTGCATACTTCTTTCTCAAACTAGCATTCACGGTATTTTGTACTTGGCAGTTTCTTGAGGGTCTGTTTCAACATACGCAGCATTGCAGAGATTTCATCAAGAATGTCGAGGGTCTCGAGTGTATTGGCAGGCTCACTGCCTTGCCATGCCTTCCATATGATTATGCGAATAGTGTTGCTTCAGACTCGCTAGTACAAGTTATTCGGACGATGGCGGACGTAGAACCCAATCAGGCACTTCGCCATCTTTCAAAACTTGTGGAGAATTCCCTTTCCGACTCTCGAAGTTTCTGGGCGACTCCTCAGTCCAACTCCAAGTTGGCGCCTTTCGTTGATCTTACAGGTAATCTTTTGTCCGCGATGTGATAGTGACAGCTTGCTCAAACATGTTTTAAAGAGGAACAGGAAGGTGCAGCAAATCAACAATTCCGGAGCCTGGTGGCCCTTCACATCCGCATCACTGTCTTGGCTGATGTTTTCTCTACTGCTGGCTATGCACACGGAAGGTCTGCAATCGGACTTCTTCAGATTCTCATGAGCGATCCGCCGAAAGTCGTCAAAGAGCTAGGTGCTCTCCACCGTGCATCTGTGTGGGAAAACATCGTGTTCAAAGCCGACATGGTGGCCAAGGGGATGGAGGTGGGTCCGAGCAGTCAGGGATCTCCCTTAGGGAGATCGCCTAGCCATGGTTCGATACCTCTCCCTGAGCCCAATGTTGGCGTTATTGCCAACGGTGTTCAGCCGGGATTGGTGTTACCCGCACAGTCATCATCGCCTACATCACCGAAGATAGACACACCGCGAGAGAAGAATGCCAAGGCTCTCAAGCACCTAACGCATGGTCTTCCAAGTGCTTTGGCTCCCTTTTTCCAGGGTTCGTTTTATGGTTCTACCTAACTTTCAAGGCAAATGACTGATGTATTCTTTCAGCTATCGTAAAGTTGTTCTATGCGAGGCGAAATCCCGATGCAACTCAGAAGAAACAGATTCTATCTGCCTCAGCAACTATTGCAGAGATCATGGTGGAGCATCTAAAGTACGAGGTCGAAGGTATTAATGTGCCCCAAAAAGTTGATTGCCTGCTCACTGTAACCTTCGTAGGCGATCGAGTCTGTTGCCTAGACTATCACAGTGTCATGTTGGGACTTGCGACGATCTTAGTTGTCGACGGTATGTACCTCGTTACTTCTTCTCTCGTACTCGAACTGATGCTCTACAGAGCGGACGATGAATCCCACTCTTCATACTGTGTTGCTCCTTGCTTTTCAGCGTGCAAAGGGCTTGGAAGCTATCTTCACAATCTGCAGATACTTCACTGACTTGGTCGATGGCGTAACGGCAGTGAAACCTGAAGATCGAACAGAAACTATGCAGCAGGAACTTGCTCATGCGCAGGGAGGACTGAAGGTTGCATTGAATCTTTTGCACCCATTACTTTCTTCAAAGCCACTGATCGAGTCTGGCCAAACGTCACTAGTCACAACTCGGGAGAAGAAAGATACGGAATCCGGTTATTTTGAGCCTCACCATTTCCTTGTCGAGCTTCGCCTCGAGAGCATACCCCTGCTGCGTAGTATCTGGGAGGCTTCTTGGCTTCGTTCATCCCCTTTGACATTGGTCAGGTCGGTCGTTCAGATCATGCTCGAGGTGACGGCAGGTGAGAATGAAGAGCTCAAGGGGGATGCTTCCCCAGAAGGTCTCAATAGCGGAACTGGCCCTCCTACTGGCAACGGCTTTCATATTAGGGCCGCTGGGCCAGATGAAAATCGTATCCGTCAGCTCACTGATATGGGATTCCCTCGCTCTGCTGCCGAACGTGCTCTTGCCCGCACTCATAACAATGTCAATGCCGCGACCGAACTACTCCTGAGCCAGCCTTACCCATTTCCCCCTGACCCGCAGCCAAACGGATCTGCCGCGGAGCAAGATGAGACAGGTGATGCCCTTGCGGATGGAGGCGACGATGATCCCTCTGATGAAGAGATGGATGTCGAGGACGCTGCTCCGCCAGCTCTTCCAGCTGAGTCTACCCCGCCTCCCCAATCGACTAGCGAAGAGCAAGGGAAGGGTCTGGAGGAATTACGGAAAGATCTCGACGAGGCAAGGGAGAATTTGAAGAAAGAGCTACCTCGAAAGGCCTTGCAACTGGTTGATGAACATCCTTCGTTGATATTCGAGGTT